TGAACTGAACTTTGCAAATTTTGCTTCCCTTTTATCTCCAAAACTGGCAGAGATAGGTCCATAGTTACTATTGAAGTTGAATAGGAAGTCATATACTGGCAATCTTACTGTGACCTTGAAATTGACCTTTGACCTACTTTTCACCATGAACTGAACTTTGCAAATTTTGCTTCCCTTTTATCTCCAAAACTGGCAGAGATAGGTCCATAGTTACTATTGAAGTTGGATAGGAAGTCATATACTGGCAATTTACTGTGACCTTGAAATTGACCTTTGACCTACCTTACAATGAACTTAACTTTGATTGCACCATTTTTAGTTATATATATTTTTTGCATATTTTGAAAATTCTTGTTGATTGCATTTTTACAGCTTGTCAAGCACAAGACTGGTGGCTGCACCCCTTATTTTGTGTATGTGGGGGTCTATACGAATGCGCTTGCTCCAGCTGGTGGTACAATATTCGGAGGCGGTATCGCCTCTCTGATCCTCTAGTTTTTTTCATCTTTGCAGTGTATATAGATGCAGCATACTGTTCAACGAGAAACTGGACTTTGTGACAATTTTTTGACTAAGTTTTGAAACATTTTATGTCAGTTTTTTTTTACAAAGGCTGACATGCTGGAATGTAATTTTGGGGGGATTTTTAAAATTCTTATTTAGTGTATTTATAGTGGAAGTATTAATAAGTAGATGCTCAATTTAATGCGAAATAAAATCTGTTGGTAAATGTTTGTGTCCATTAGAATACGATTGTGGATATCCAAGTTTGAGGAATTTTTTTTTCTTTTCAGATGGAAACTTTTACAGCAGTCTACAAGAAACTGACTGGAAAGGATGTTACCTTTGAATTTCCAGAATACGTACTGTAAATGAGATAGAAAAAAAATGGAAGTTGAAAAAAAAAGTGTAAAATAAAGACTTATCATTGAAGAAGAAAAATGCCTTTGTATCAGTGTCTGATGTGCAAATTGTATTCTAGCATTGGTCCTTATGCTCCGAGTGGGCATGTTTACTCAAAGTTTTGTAGGAACAACCAACAAATTTTAGTACTCAAACCAAAAAAAGGACCTGTTGAACGTGCACCCTTACTACTTCAGTAACATTTAGTTTTCCAGTCTGTTTGAAATTGTGTATTGCATCAAACCTACTAAACAAAGATTGTCAAAATTAAGTGTCAATGGATGAACAAAGCTCTAGAAGTGATGGAATGGGGTTGGTTTACATGGATTGTGATGAGGTCACAAGATAATTTTAGACATTAAAATCTTGGTATATTTTCTTTCTGCTTATTATTGAACCATTCTTTTCAGTAAATTACACTGGGTTGTAATTTGGGGTATATTAACTCTGTTCCTCTACTCCAGTTGGTATTGCAAGATATAACAGAACTTGCCAAAATAATGTATACAAAGGAATGAAAATAGCTTTAAAATTAAGTAATAGTTCAAAATGGCACGCAATCACATGAGATGGTTCCAACAGTTAACTAGGTATTTTCTTTGATGTAATGTGGTGTCCCACAAACGCTGATTTTATAAAGCCCATAATATGATTGAATAGCTTAAGTGCTAATGGCACACATGCTGAAAACTTGAAAAATGGCCAGGCATTTGGATAGATGTTACAAAAACTGCCATATCAAAAGATTTTGCCCAACAAAATGTCAATTCAAAATGACAGTATTTGAATCAAGTGAACTTTCTGGTCCATGAAAATTTTACTGGTCAGGGGAATCCCGACTGGTAAAACCAAGTGTGTTTGATCAGTAACATCATTATTGAGAAAATGAAATCTAACACTGGATCTTGCGTTGAAACATCACAACATTTCCACCTCACTGCAAAGTCTTCTTCAGTACCGTAATTTTCTCATTATCTCAGTATAACATAAATGGATAATTCAAAATATTCATTTTCATTGACAAGAAAAGCTTGGTATTGCAAAAGAGACAATGATGAGGTGACATCTTTGTTTCAAAGAGGATGCAAAAAGTAAAATGTACAAAGAAAAAGACAGGAAAGTTGGATACTTCAAAAGAAGTATGTAAGCAAGCTGTTTAATCAAGAAAATGACATAGCATTGGTGCCAAAGCACTGAGCAACATGGATTATATGATTACCAATTTAATCATTTTTGTGAAAATTTTAAGTGGAAATGGATTCCCGAAAGCTTGTATGCGTAATTTGTATAGTTGAATACAAATGGAAATTTTGTAAGTATGAACTGTAAAAAAAATTCCTTCTGATTCTGACTTTGGCAACTATTATTTCTACCATTGGCTAATGCATGTGGTCAGACAACCATATAAATAGATTCTGCCATAGGACCAATGTTATGAGCTGTCTGCTCGACTAGGCAATTCTGAACTGTTATCTTCCAAAATGTCTGCAGCAATTTTATCCTCATCTTTAGTCTGGGTGGGAAAAGCACTAGCAAACTGTTGTTGTTCCTGTTCCAAGTCATTCTGTGGAAACTCATCGTTTAATAGTCTTTCCTCATCTACAACGGAACTAACAGGTTGTGCTGGTTGTTGCTGGCGAGCATTCTTTCTTCCAATTCTTTTTCTAGGGTTTTTGATATAATTGACAGGTATGAAACCTTCACTCTTTCCATCAACACTTGCTAAAAGCCAACCTCGCATCCTGGGCTGGAGTTCTGTTAACAAAAGAAATAATATTCATAGATGAAAATGTAAACTATTACGTGAGAAAAATTACCTTGTCCTTTCCGATACTATCTAATAAACTGCTAGAAATAGCTCAATAAACAAAAGTTCTTTTTCAATCTCTTTTCAATTTTTGAATTATTGAAAAAAATTACCCTTGGGAGCAATGTTAATCCTCTGACCAGCACGGAAAGATAGCTCGTCTTCACTCCTTCCTTGAAAACTGTACTCAGCCTCCGCCTCAAAGTGATCATCCTCACCACTAGCCCATTCTTGACCTAGAATTAAATAACATATGACAAACCTCACATAAGTAAAAACTGAAATGGATGTATCAAAAGTGATTTTGAAAATTGTCACTATTATCCAACAGCACATCTGCTAGGAGTACACTAAGTGATGCCACATACACATGTATCCAAAAAAAATTCTACAAATTACTCTGGTCATTTTCACTTGCAAAAAAATTTGATACGTCTGTTTTCAGCAAAACATTTCAAATGTAATAAGTATAAATCATTCACAAAGTCTAAGCATTAAAATTACCAAACAACTTTACCCTCATTCTTTTTAACTGATGAGAGCAGTCTCCAGATAAGCCATGGTCCTCCAAAAATCACAGCAAAAAACAACAAGATTGGCCAGCTAGACTTCTGTTTGTCATCCTGTGGTAATGAAGCGCCTGCTCTGTTCACTTCAGTCCAAGCATCCTCAGAGCTAACATTTTGTGAAAATCCAAGAAGGCTCCTCAGTTTCCTCCATAGCCATAAAAAGGGTCTGATAAAGGCAACAGAAGCAAATATCTGAGCAAAGTGGCTTTTCATTCGTGTAAAATGATCTGCAACACCTATCACAGCTCGGAATGAATTGTACACTGCGCAAAACGTGGAGTCCAGCATCATGGCTACTGAACCAAAAGCACTGACAATGTTCTCTATAGACTGGAAAGCTGGTCTTGAACTTTCCTCAGCCATCCTGGCAAATGTTGATTGCTCTGCACCATAGCCGGTGCCAAATCTTCCATAACCTCCACTCAGTCCACCATAGCCACCGTATAACCCCGTGGAGCCATAGGGACTATATAGTCCTCCATAACTACTGCCATAGCCACCATACCCTCCGTATCCCATGCCATAGCCCATACCACTGCCACCGTAGCCCAGTGCTCCATAACGTGGTGTTAACCCAGTATTCTGTGATCTAGGAGGAGGGGCAGGGGGTGTTCTTGGTGTAGCTGTGTCTCCCAATGCTGATGTTGATCTTGAACTTGAAAGTGTCCCCCTGTTTGGCGTGGGTCTGGGAACATCATCCCTGAAAAATAAAAGATAAAATCAATTATAAAATGGTGCTATTTTTTATTTTATTTTATTTTTGTAACTGGTACGTAATCATCACGTTTATCATGTCTTGGTAAATCTAATAAATTTCAAGATTTACTTAAAGTGACCACGTGCTTTCAATCTGACTTCTCACACTGTTGGCAGTACATTGCCACTGTCACCACATCCAACCCATGATAAACAATTTTAAAGTGGGCGGATGTTCCAAAGTACCCCCCCCCCCCCCCCCCCCTTCGCTCCTCGCAAACAAATTTTCAATGGCAACAATGAAAATTAATAGCTGAAGCTAGTTGACTGGAGTTGCAGTGGATAGCCAGCAGTCCTTTATGACAGTGCCCCAAGTCTCAAACCTTACTTTGGTAAACTGTCACCTTGAACCAGGTTGTTAACACTGTACATAGTGCTAGTAGTAGTAGTAGTAGTAGTATTGTATGTGTCATTCTGAACCAAAACAAACGTCATGGGTGGGTGTCCCATGAATCTCTCAGTATTAGATTCTGTGCTACAGTTCATCACATTTACATGTACCTGCCGGTCTCTGTAGTTTACTAGGCAGCATGAAGACATAACTCTTCGTGCTATTTACTCGCGAGTGGCTGCTGTTTGGTCAACAACAGTTGAACTCGAAAGTTGAAACCACCCCCGAAACCACGTTCGACCGTTTGTGGATCAATGACAGAAATTACCTATCCACATCAAATATACATTTTCAGAACTATCCACATTCGTACAAGAAACTCTTGGACAATTATTAGACCCTTTCACAAACCTTGAATTTACTGGAGTGGGTTTGGTGGAAGTAAGTCCATGTCCTCGCTCCCAAGGCTTTTGCGGTGCCGACATGATTCGTGTTCAAAAGCATTTGTTTGACGTCAAGTACAAAGGTTAATGTATTGAAACGAGAAGGGAACTACAGTTTTAAAATGTTTTCTTTTCAATATGTAACATTTTGACAAAATCAAATTCACATGTATTGTTCTATATCTATGTTTATTTATCTTTAGTCGCTCTTTGTAATTTTCTTAAGAAACGTCCTTCAAACAGCGAATTAGGCTTTTCTTGATTATTAGTGCATGTGACTATTAAAAAAATCTCTGCAAAAATGAAGTGCAGTGTTTACATGCTGATGGTTACAGAGTGTATCTTCGTTTTGCTCCTCTGTTCATCATTAATACATAGTTGTGGCCTGACAACGCACACAGAGATAGGTAAAAAATTGGGTTTTTTCTTTTTGCAATTGTGCACACCATATGATATATGTGGCCGGAGGGGCGGGAGACCCCCCCCCCCAACCCAAGGCTCCTGCACTTACATGTAACTGTTAAATTTTATCCAGTCATATATTCTCTGACAATGTATAATGCACACGAAGGAAATATAAAATAATAACAATAATAATAATAATAAGTATAATTAGTATATAAATATGTATAATAATTAATAATTTAGAAAAATATTTGTGAAAAAAAAACTAATATTATTGGTATCATGTATGTTTGTGTATACTTGTTCTATTTTCTGCATATACTGTAGCTCATAGAGCCTTAGAATATTTCAATGGCAAGACTAAAAGAGGGGATTACAAAACGGTAAGGACCATATTGATCAACATGATTGTCTGTATTTTTACATGTTTAACTGCTAGCCCATACAAATTCTGTGGCCAGTGTTAAAATAGTTTCTTCAACAGATTAATAATATTTTAAAAATACATTTTTACCAAATGTTATGCATGTTAGCATGAATGTATAATAACAGTATAAGGAACATATATAAAAGCTTTTTTTTTCGAAAGACAACTATTATGGTTTATTATAGATGTATAACTGCAAAATTTATATATTTATAAAATCCAGATGATGGTCAAACATCAAGATGCTTTTCAAGCAGGCAATCCCTATCCAGACACTTTTTTTGACAGTTTATGTTTCAAAGGTAACTAGAATATGAATATATAGAACTTCTTTGATTATTTACCTTTCATATTTTAATGTTGTAGAAAAATATCAAAATTATTGTACATTTTTATTTTTTTTCAAAAGGTTTTGATTCCATTTTTTTCTTATTTAAGATATTATAAATTAAAAATTAAACTTAACTCTCAGGAAGGTACCATGACATATCAGAAGACACTCACTGGGCCCCATTCTTGAATGTGACCATCAACTACATCAGGCAAAAATATCCATATCCATGGGACCAGGTAAGGACACTTTTTTTTTTATAATGGTTAATTCCTTCCATTTCTATAAGTATAAAGGATGAATTCACAGAGAAATACTGAGGTGGGTTTTGAGTTGGAAAAGAGTAAGTCAAAGGAGTGTATACATGTGAAGTACTAGTACAGTAGTGAATTCTCTCTCTCTGTTAATTTTTTTTTTCTGGCAAAAAAAATTCACCTCAAGCTGAACATTTTTTATATTTAAGTAGGAGTTGCTGTGTTCTTTGTTTCTAACAGAAAACATATAAGATACTAAAATAAAGAAAATATAAAGATAAAAGTAAGTCAGTTTTTCTCTCTATATATATTTAATTTTGCTCCCAGGATACAGAGAAGCTAATTGTGTTCATGTTGGGCTTTGTGAGCCATCAGATAGCAGACATCACATGGCACAGTCTGGGAATAGACCAAGGATTCCTAGAAACAATGGGGAAGGTAGTACTCTAGGTTTACTCATTGAAAAGTAAAAATGAATTACAAAACTATGACATTTTCTTTTCACAATTCACACTGAAATTCCCTTCCTTTTTCATTCAGTACAATTAATCTGTTCTGCACAGAGAGATTTTTCCGTGCAGTACAATTATTATTTTGCTCAGTACAATTATTAATTTTTGAACATTTTCCCAAAAGGTACAATTATTCAGACAACTATCTGCCTTTTACCCACTTAATTTAAACTGCAAATACATATTATGAAAATGTTAAAAAAGAAAACGTTACATGTATGTTATTTGACATGCTGAAAAATGAGGCCACTATTTCCCAGTGAACTTGATGTGGGCACTTTTTTGTGTGGCTGTCATTGGGCTTGTCTTTACAATTAAAACATGAAAAATGACATGCTTTTCAAATGTCTGACATGATCAGAAAATGTCTGACATAGAGATGTTTTTATGTCAGACAGAAAATCAGGCTGGTGTCCAAAGTTTTTCAGGAACACAGGAATGTCAGTATATATGAAGTGTTAGTGGTGAATATACATTATCTGTAAACATTCAAGTTCAATCTGGTAATCAATGGCTTGTTTGAAAAATCTAAAGTGACTGTTATTATTTTATAAGAACATTTCAATTTGTGTTTAGATTGATTTCCATGGCTCATATGGTGATGCTCATAATGTGGGAGATTTTGGTAAGAAATATCTGATAGCCTATTTTAACAAGTACCATTTTATGCAGTGATCTTAATAGAAGTTGAAAATTAAACATCATCATTTATGTCATGATAAGAGTTAAATGAAGTTATTTTTAAGATTGTATTAAATTCAGAAGTTTTTTTACTTCTTTTTTAATTCCCATATCCTTGTTTTAGGCGGGGACATATTAAACCTATTTGAAATCAAGCTACAGTATATTCACTCTTTAGAGAATTGGTGAGTTTTGGTGGCCATTGGTTAGATTTTGAAGAGTAGTACACGTCATCAAATTTCATTATTAAATGCAAAAAGGCATTTACAACTTATATAAATATACATCACATTAAATTGTTAATTTAAATGTGTTTATAATGTACAACACATTTGTGAACTATTTTGATAGCATTAGAAATGAAAATGCTTTATTTATTACATAGATTTTGACATCCTTACCTGCCTTTTCCTAGGTATGTACCTACTTTCGATCTCCAAAATATTTATAAGATATATTATGGAGATGGCAGAATGACTGCTGACACCATACTGGAATGTTCTGTGTTGATGTTTCTTGCCAGGTAGGCCATTTATTTACTGATATCATTTAGAATTGAGATACAGCTAAAGCAAACATTTCAAACTGATCCTAACAACAATTCAAAGTTTTCAAAACGCATGTTTTTAATATGATTATGCTTTCTTTCAAGTATGTAGTTTTTAAGATAATGTATATATTTTTCTTTTTCAAAGAGCTGGAGAAAAGTTGGCAGTTTCTAAAGTAAGTACATGTTTATACATTGTAAGACCTTGTATAAACCCAGTTTGTACTTTATTGCTCAGATGCTAAAAGTTAGCAGAATGATGAGGTTTCTTTTATATATAATTCAAAAATAGTAACCCAAACAGTTTTATACCTGTACACATGTGTGTTCATACACATTTAAAGGTATACTGTGATGAAAAAACGGGTTAAAACTATCCATTAGGTGCCCAAAAGTCATTTTTGAGTAATGAAAAAAAAAGTTCTTACGTTTATTTAGTTTTTAAAGCCGATTTTATGCAGGTGTGAATGTAGTTTACGATACTCCCGCGTGGTGGCGCTTTGAGGCGAGTGACGTCACTTGCGTCGAGGCTCAGAAAGCCATATTCGATTCAGCAAACTAAAAGCGATACACGCAATTGATTACTACATGATCATTTATAAATTCAAATTTTTGAAGATAGATACACAAAAGAAGATGAATTCCCTACGTGGTTATCATTTATTAACCAACAAAATACACCAAAACTATGTTAACAGTAAAGGTTTGGAAGCAGGGCAGCGAACATAGTTTTTCACACATGCCCATCTGTCGCGTCGGCTGAACGTTCTTATCCCGACTGATAAGAGAAAGTTACCTAATACATGCAGGTGTGACAGCTAACATTATTTTTCACACCCGTGCAGTTTACCAGTGTCATTCCAGGAGAGCCAGGTCAGTGGACAAAAGGCCAAAGATATCGCACTGATAGCATCGGACACTACATTTCACACCTCTGCAACTTACCTCGCTACTTCCGCCTTACACGTGATCAGTGCAGCAGTATGTCGAGTAAAAATTTGATTCCACTATCATGTTAATATTAAAGTTTTCACTAACATAACCAAAAAATTCGACAACGTCCTGCACACATCCTACAGGTAAGACTCTCGTCGGCAGCGCTCTGGCATTTACTGTCGCATTTTGGTACTCCGAAAAATCGAATATACTGGGTACAGCATCATCTTTTAGTTTTCTCCGTGCTTTTTCACCGAACAATTCAGCTCGCAGGTCACGTACGAAGCATTCCGGCTCGAAGTGGTCGCTACAGATCCTCGCGTGTTTTGACACTGTGCTGGGATTTTTTAACTTCAGAGAATTGAGCCAAATTTTACGTTTTGCGGCATCCGCAGGCAGGATATAACAGCAGATGTCTTTCTTATCGTAACCTACATTACGGCACCCGGGAGCAACACAACTTTGCGGCATTTTGTTTTTCTGACACCTGGATGTTTAGTCACCTACTGCATAGTATATACTATTACTAGTACAGCTGTGGGAAGCTACTAACCCAGGTTACGTCACTTGAAACTGACCAATCAGAATTTTTTCATCTAAATCTCATCTTCTCTCTCTAAAACTTAAAAAGAACAATTTTTTGACGTCGATTTATAGTTTTTATACTGTAAAAAAAGCATTGAACGCTCTGTGTTCCTAGAGCATAGTAGGCCTTTAATGTCAGTGTAAACTGTCTAAGGATGCATTCCCAGAGATTTAGATTGATCCAGAGATTAAGATTTAGATCGACCTAACTCCCTGAGGTTCACGCTAAATTGCAGTCAGCCGAGCGCGCACCATAGTTAATTACCCCCTTACAGCTTTTAGTAGGCGGGACAGACGCTTAAGCCGGCTAACCTGACAGTAATCTAGTGAGACTCCCCACAGGGATAGATCGATCTAAAATCTATGGAAATGGGGTCTAAAATTTGCCCTAGATTGAAATTATTTAAGTAAATTTTCTGTCTTTTGATTAAGTGAATAATAACTTGCATGTTTCAGTTGTTCCCCACTTATGCAGAAAAAAGTCCATTCATGTTAAGCATGTTGAATGACTTCTTCCTAGGAGGGATAGATGACATGGCAGCGTGGACTGACAACTTGTGGCATACGACGTTGTACATGTTGGAGAATGGAACTGAGTAAGCTTAGACTTTGTACAGTCATGTAAACTTGTGATCCATATAAATTAAAGAGCTTCTTTTAAATGGTTCATTTTTAATTGACCATACAATTATTCAAACATTATTTTGTCTTTTGCAGCCAATAATTTTAAATTTACAGTTTTTGGATTTTTAAAACATACTTGTATACATTATGTGTTTTAAGGGCTTTTTTGTTCAGAATAACTGCTAATCTTATTTATTTCAGATCTTGTCAAATTCCAAAAAATCCTCTTTATATAAATTGTGGCAATACTTCAAAGTCATTTTTGGATAAAAGGAAAGTGAAAAATGGTTTCTTTTCTAAACCTTTGATGCATGGTTTATCCCCAAAAGATGTGCTAGTGAGGAAATCCAAACGTGGTGCTTATCTGACATTAGGAATGGAACTTAAGGTACTTGATATTTTGTAATGTTTCTGTGAACAATATAACTAGCAATAATCTGTATTCTGACAATTATTTCTTAAGATATAAACAGGCAGTTTCTTTTCTTTTTTTAATTTTTAAATTTTTATTATTTTTTTCAGAAACGACTTAGACTAGCCACAAGAAAGATTTCAGATTCAACAATAAGAGCACAGCCCAAACAGGTCCAGCCCAAAGCTGTATACAGAGTCAATAGCACATATGCTAGATTAGGATGGTGAGATGGTTTTTATTATGATTTCAAACTCTAAATGCATAAAATAAGAATAGATTTTAAAATTATTTTATAATTGTACGGAGGGGAATGGTGGCATTTGGTCAGTATTGCATGGAAGTGTTTTGTTTGTTTCAAGAGCTATTGGTTTCCAGTTTCAGATTTTTTTTTTTTTTGAGACAGAAATGGTTGTATTTTGGAGGGAAATTTTTGGTTTTTCAGTTGTGTTTCGTCTAGATGTACAGAAACCTTTACCAAGAATGTCCAAAAATTGACCAATATTAGAAATTTAGATAAAATGCAGTTCAAAATTTTCTTCAGGTCACTTTTAAATGGAGATGTTAATCATGATGGTTATGAAGACTTAATCATGGGATCCCCAGGTTATAGTGTGGAAGGAAACTATCAGGCTGGCAGGGTGTACATTGTATTAGGTAACTTATCTGGTTAACTCTGAACATTGATCATCTCATATGTGAAGATATACGTTTTAGCATTAAATTTAATTACCAGAAAGAACACTATTGAATTCAGAACAATTCTGTTTTGGACTTCTATTTCAGGTGGTCCAAATGGTCTTCCCAAGAAAGATCTAGATCTTAATAAGGAAGCCAACATCACCATTGAGTGTCCAGCTTTATGTGGCAGGGTGAGACGCCAAGGCTGAGTTTTATCCTGGCAGTATTAATATGCAATGATATTATTGTGAATATTTTATTGGGAGACTAAACCATATATTGCAATTGTGTTGGCTTACTCCAAAATGCTATAAATATTTTATTGTATTTATACCAGCCTCCTTAAACTGTGGCAAAATAAAAGAAACTCTAGATTTCCTAGCATATTATCTCAATTCTTCACTTGACCTTAAAATGTGATTTTTGATTTCTTTAGCACTTTAGCATAGGTGCAAAAAATATATATTCATTTATCTTTTTTTTATTTTTAGCATTCACGGTTTGGCAGTGCTCTTGCTGTAGTGGATTTGAATGCTGATGGGATTAATGACTTAGCTGTCAGTGCACCTTCAGACCTTACTGATTCTCTTAAATATTCTGTGAGTAAAACTTAAGATTTTTTGTTTAATGTTATGGTAAAGCTGTGGCAAACCATGCCTTTAAATTATATTGTTGTATCATTGCAAATGGCCTAATGTTGTGTATCATCATGTGTATCATCATATGATTGTATTTGATTCTTTGCTAAGAGGTTTTGAAAAAAGAATATTATGAAGTGTTGGTCAGTGCTCAATAAAATTCCTTTTTTCTTTTTTGTCAGGGTTCAGTCCATGTTTATTATGGACCACTTAAAGTTGGCATAGTACTTCAGGATCCAAGTGCGAACTACTCTTGCCAGGTGAGAACTTGTCCTTTTAACACCTTATACAAAGACAACCAGGTGACAGGACTGTAAACATTAATGGCATTGGTCATATGAGTTGTACATCACAAATAAATAACTTTCATGGATCATTATTTTTGGTGAAAAGATAAATTGTTACATGGATAATATTTTCTTTTTCAAAATGACCTTAGGAGACCTACTGCAACTTTGGATGGACATTATCTGGGGGTGATGTGAACAGTGATGGGTTTGCTGATCTTGTTATTGGCTCTCCTTTTGCTCCTGGGGGTGGAGAACAAAGAGGCAAAGTGACTGTCATTTTGGCAAAGAAGGGAAAAATTGATAGTACGCACATTTTTAATTAAGTTATATTATTTTACCACTGAAAAAGTAAGAACTGATCAAATAGATGAATTGTAGTGTTATTGTGAGTTGTGAGTGATCAGATGATTTACACATCTGTTGTATTCATTCTGAGTAATTCTCATGTTGAATGCAATATTACAGGGAACTAAACAGTTTTCTTTCATATTATTTTTGAACAGGTGGGAAGTTTGATTGGGTACAGAATGGTGAACAGGTATATCTAAGAATCTGCTCTTTCATTTCTCAGAACACTTTTGCAAGGTCATTTCTCTACCAGTCTTCACTTTTTACACAGAAATCTTTTAGTTTTATGCCCAGTGCTTTACAATATACCAGTATCTTTGTCACATTTAAAGAAAAAAAATGTCATGCAAAATAATTACACCTTCAACTGCAAATATAAGGGATCAAACATGTTTATGGCTGTCAGCAGACTCGGTATCCACAGTAACAATTTCACTTCAGGATTACAGTTGGTTTGGATACAGTGTTGCAGTGAAGAAAACTAGTCTAGCAGGCAACTGGTTGATGATTGGAGCTCCCACATTCAGGAAGTGTGCCCTGTAAGTTCGTTAATTCATGAATTGCATGCACTTTGACCATTATTGACTTCCAAAAACAGTATTGATTTATTCCTGAACAGATGTTCTTTTTTTTGTGAATTATAACAGGTGTTTTTTTTTTTAAATACTTAGAAGATATAAATTCTTTATTATTTGCATTTCAGAGCTAACTGCAGTTTTAATGCCAAGGACAAACAAAGTGTGGGGAAGTTGTACATATATGTGTTGCCTACATACAAGCTGACATACTCGTTTATTGGCAGTGAAGAGCATGCCAAGTTGGGCAGTAGTTTTAGTGTGGGAGCACCCTTTGAAAAGTATACTGATATGTTAGCAATAGGCATTCCAGATATTGGTAATTATGATCACTAATGTTTTCCCTTTTTCTTCAGAAAAAGATTAAAATACTTGATGAAATATAAGTGATACCATTGCTATAAAGAATGAATTGCATTGTTTTTTTGAAAAGAAATTAAGTTTAGAAAATAAATTGAAAACATGATCTGTAAAATATAAAACAGCCAAAATCTCTGTCATAGTTAAACTTGCCAATTTCTATGAAAAGTCTGCAAGCTACAGAAAATTTACATAGAAATTAGAAGGTTGGCATTAAATCCATGCACTGCCGAGTAATGCAATTATGAGAAAACATTAAATGAAGCAGTTCTGTGACATACAGAGCTATCACTTTGTTTTGTAGATGTCCAAGGTTCAGTCGTGGGGTATTCAGTACCATTTCACCAGGCAGGAGGGGTTTTGGTGTATAATGTTTCAAACCTTCTTAGAGACTACAAGAGACTAGTAACATCTTTCTCTGGTGATAGAAGATTTGACAGATTTGGAGTCACTGTGAAGGTAAGACATAAATATCCTGTAGAATATAGCAGGATAAATACTTTTAATGGGCCATATTAATTGTGTTGCCATTATTTCCTTGGTGATTTTTAATATAGAATTGTATGGGCATTTTCAGTTGATATTTACATTCTGTGCAAGGCTCTAAATGTAATTGCACTTACATGTACACAGATTCCTTGAAGTATAAATGAAATTTCCCAAGTCAACAGGTTGTCACATATGATATTCTTGTATTAGTTTGCAGATTTAAATGGTGATGGTCTCGATGACTTTTTGTTGTCTGCACCACTGCGAACAGACGACATAACAGAAGAGCTGGAAGGAGGTATTTTCTCATCTTATTAGTTTTGAGAATAGAGCAATTTTGAATGGCGTATTTAGCCTTGGAATTCTGGAATATTGGAATATTCAGGATATTGGAAATTAGTTTTGGAAGGTAAAATTCAAGTATTGGATGTTGAATTTTTCTTAGAAATTTTTATTGAAGCAGGAAAGTTTTCAAATCTGTTTCCTTTCTTTACTGAATTGACCTGCATGTAATATATCATTTGACGGCTATTAATATGTGTGCATTTTTTTAAACAGCTGAACAAGGCACAGTGTATGTGTATTTAGACAACTTTCCTATTGGAAATACTACAATGAATGATTGTAAAGACAGCAGAGTGATACCATGCCCTGGTGAAAAGGTAATAAAGACACATTTGTGATCGTTCTATGGGGGTTGGGCAGGAAAATGCTAACTTGACTGTAAATGTGTGCTACTTATTCTTTTACTGTTGCATTAAACGCTTACAACATTTGATTATTTTATGACACAGAGCAGATATGTTAAGTCATACTTGTAAAATTAATTTCAGTTTAATGAAGTATTAACAATGGGTTAAATTTTATAATGAATCTGTTCAGGCATATGGTCAGTTAATATTTGGTGAAGACCAGGCTAGATTTGGGAAGGACCTTGCAGTGGTGGCAGTTACGGCACAAAAGGTAACCAGATTTCAACTTTGGAAGGCGTATTTTATATCAGTTAAAATTTCATTCTTTATTTGTCGGTAAATAAATTATGTTGAAATGGTTTCAACCACCCCCAGTATGTAAAAGGGATAGATTAATGCTGCAGTGAGATAATCTGTGGGCATATCAAAAGATTTCTCTTACTGTTTGACTCATCATGTTCTGAAACACAACAAATATTCAGGCACTTATTGTTACCACATAATTTAATGTTACTTGCTGCTGGACTTCTTTTATGAATGCTCTCCTATGTGTTAAAGTTAAAAGTAGGTGTAACTCCTTTTCAGCTCAATAAATTATAAATGGTTTCTCATTTTTCAGAGAGAGATAGCTGTGTCAGCTATTCACAGTTCTAGCACAGCTAGGCTAGGAGGAGCTGTTGCCATTTACACTCTTCAGTAAAGGAGAACTGTTCCGTTTTAATACATTAAAGCGCACCCAAACCCAACTATGCAAAAAAAGGTTCACATTCCCTTACAGATCTAATGGTTTTGTGCAATATTGGACCATGATATTTCAAATGTGATATTTGACAGGTCATTATTAAGTTATAATTAGCTCTAACATATGTATTGCTCTATTATTCAGGTAAACTGAACATACAAACCTGAATTAAAACAGATTTTCAGGTTGTGTATTGTGAATACAGAGGTGTTGGCATCATGGCTCCTGAAGCCAGTTGTTGCATTAAGTTGACATCCAAATACTGATCATGGTACCCATTCCAGTTATTGTCTGTGATTGTTTTGGCAATTTCTCAGTGGAAACTTAGCTTTAGCTTATATTTTTATAGCATTTTATAAATGAAATTTTGGCCAGTTTTGTTGAATCAGTATCAAAATATTTCAAGAAGAGATTATCATTTAGGGCACATGCCTATTCAATTTTGATTATTATTAATTCCCATTTTTGTTTCTGACAAATTCATGTCAATCATCTGTTTAGACATCTTTTATCTCTGGACATCCACTTGTAGTTGTGTAATTACTGAAGATCTGGTTCGATTTGGGGCACAAATCAGAATACTTTCATATACTTTAATTTTCAATTTTTTATTCTTCCCGCAATCTAAAAGCATTAAAATTTGTGGCACAAACAAGGTTATTTTTCACTGAATTGTGCATTGTTTTATTTTTGTACAGCATATGAAAATACAAAATGCACATGGTAATTAGGAAACACTTGGTTTAATCATCAGTTTTCACATTGACATGATGATGATGTCTACAGCTATATACATCAGACTTGAGCACAGGTAGATATATATGTTATATATTATATATAGATATATAGATTCTGCTGTACACCAACATTAAGTGTATAAATGCATGTACCTTTATTGGTATATTCATACTTAGCAAAGAGTCAATGCACTGAATGGTGTTTATGTTAACCTGCCACCAAAACACCATGAAATAATTACCACTACCACCTACGTGTGGCTGTCTCCTTACCAAAAAAATATGCAAAATATTGTGAAGGATACAAATGTTACTAATTTCACAGATATACATATAATAATCTATGTTATGGAACAATCTTTCAATGTACAAATGAATGTACAGAAGTATATGGCCACACCTATAAACAGTATATACATGAATGTGGTGACCATTTTGATTTATATTCCATAGACACCTTTGTACATGATTGCAACATAATGCACCAAATTTATTTGCACACTTTGCCCCTAGGGACAATATCTCGTATGTTGTAAAAAAAAAATTAATATATTTCAACAGAGTTTTTATTAAAATAAATGTCAATCTCTCAAAGTATCTGAAAAGGTGTTCTTTTGTAATTTAATAAAATAATATTCCCCAGTGGCAATAACTTCATATTTTGTCTACGGACTACGACACCAACAGTTTGACAACCAAGGCACCCACATTTTACTACAATGGTACACAGGTTTTCTATATACATTATTCTTGAACAGCAAACACGCTCCTGATAAATAACACAACATGTACCATTTACTCCTGCTGCATCTTGAAGAAAAACAAAATATTGGCAAATAGTTTGGGTTTGAAACCACACACTGATTGTTAGAAGTGCCTTGTAACAGGTCAGCTTTTCTAAAAAAAAATCCTCTCCATGGATGGATGACCAATGCTGCACACATCAACCCTGCAAAACCCTCTATATACCACTACCACTACATCATATGGCCCCAATGTAGAATGAGAAGTTTGAAGACTAGATTTGTTCATTAAGTTCCTGTGGGATTTGTCACAGAGGGCACCAAGGGTCACCTACGCCTCTTGCCGGTCAGGTGAGGGGGGTCTTGTTGATCTGTGGAATAAACATAAACCATTTATTATCATACCTTTTATGAACAAAAAAAGGGTATTAATTTTAATTCTCTGACACAGAAACATAACCAGTAGATCTTGCTCACTGACGTATTTCAAACCAAACTAACAAGTGACAATGCAGTTGACGACAACAGTTTTATGTAACACATTTACACTGAAGATACAGAATTTCCCAAAATGAAAAAAAAAAAAAAAGATTTTACTGCTCTTGTCACAGCAAAGTGGTTTAAAAAACTGTCTCTCACCTTTTGCTGATCTAGTTGATCTTGTGGTTCTCTTTTGTGCAGGTTCCAAAGATGACTCGGGTGCATTTTTCAAACCTTTATTCTTAGCACCAGGTTTTTCTTCTGCTGAAAAATTAAAATAAAAGTTTCAAGTATTTTTTCAATGTCATGTAAAGAAATGCAGTCTAAAAGCCTGACAAGCTTTTGCTTGAATAGTCTACATTTATGAAACATGGTTATTTTACCCACATGACATGACATACAAAAATAAAATAGTTCTGTACATTCACATCTGACATAAGAGGAAATCACCATTTCATACTTCTATTCAATATTTCACGAGCTAAAACTATGTTTTTTTACCTTTATTTTTTGCATTCTTTCTGCAAGGCCCCTTTTTGCCGTCCCCATTTTCTGAAATGTCCTCTTTTTTCACTTTCCCCTTCTGTAATGGTTCTGCTTCATTCTGGTTATCTGAAATAACTTGGGCTTCTTTGTGAGCTCTGCTTCTAGTTCTCGTACCCCTTGTCAACTGATCTGCTTCAGTCTTAGTGCCAATATCAACACTTTTTCCAGCAGTCCTTCCCAATTTTAATGTAGCCTTTTGGGTCTCTGCCTGAATTGGGCCATTTTTGGCTTTATTGCCACTTACTGGTTCTTTCCTGCGTGCATTCCTCCGATTTCCCATCTTTAAATCATTGAGAGAGACATTGTCATCTTCACTAGACAGAAGTTCCTCAGAAAGCACATTTTCACTGTTCTCATCTTTCATCTTTTTCATCTGATTTTGAGTCATTTCAGGAGAAGGTTCTTCACTCACCTCCAACTTTCTCTTTCCACGTAATGCCCTGACACTCTTATTGGTGCCCTCTTCTGTATTGTTCACTGGGGTGGTAGCATTTACAGTCTCTACTTTCTGTCGGCTTCTTGGAGTGGATCTCGTTACGGGTGTGGTTCTGGTAACTGGAGATTCTCTCTTGCTTGCTCTTGTTGCTCTGTGTCCATCCTTTTCAAGACTACCATTACTGTGATTTGATTCAACAGATTCTCGGTTTTTTCTCTGCATCACTCGGTCTGCTTTCGGTGTTATTTCTGCTTTTGCTTCAGAGCTTAAGTTTTCATTGATATTTTCTTGCCTTACAGAGCTCTGTTCCTCCATCTCTTTACATTCATTACTTGGGCTATGAGAACCTTCATTCTCTGGAGGATTTTCAGGTAGAACTTCTTCCGCTTGATTATTTTCAGGTTCATTTTCTTTCTTTACTTCTGAATCTAATTTATTTATTTTGGTACTAGAATTTTCTTCACAACCTTCCAGCTTCCTTTTTACACCTTTACTTGGGTCTGTCTGTTTGGCATCTGTCTGTTCTTCTTGCTTCTCACTCTCTTTGTGCTGTATTTCATTCTCTTCAGGTTCGTGACTAGTTGATTCAGAGGAGCTTAGTTCAGGTTTATGATACATGTGATCTGAAGTCTCTGTATTTACCGTATGACTAACACTCTCTTTAGAGGAAGTTTCTACTGAAAATGGTTTTACCATCTGAACTGGAGGGACTTGGACCAGTCGTCCAGGTGAGTGGCCTATAGAGGGAGGCACTCTCTGTACCTGTACAGCCTGTGTGACTGGCACTGTGTGGTGTGACTTAACGGTACCGACTAGCTGCTGAACTGGAGTAGGGCTGGGTGACTGCTGGCAATTCTGCCCTGGACTTGACTGTTGGTACTGTTCTTTGGACTGGGCAGTCAACTGTCCATGTGAGCTTGCTGTGGGGCTAAGTGGGCTTACCTGTACAGGAGAAGGTGTGGGAAATGTGGCATTAGGACTCAAGGCCCCCAATTCCAGCGGACTTCTCCTACTCTTGGGACTGTGACTCTCAGACCACCTAGCTAACATCTCCATATTTGACACACCATCCTGCTGAATTATTCTAGTTGGTACAGTCTTGGGGAGAACTAAACTAGGAGGATGTCCTAGGATGTGAGTTTGCATAGGCTGTGCTGTGGCCAGGGTAGCCAACGGTTTCACAATGGGTGTGCGCCCTTCTTCAACAGCTCCCATGGGTGGAACTAATTTTTGCACAGACTCTGTTAACCCATAGGGAAACATTGGGGCTGTGACAGTGTGTGCTTGACTCGTTAACAGTGAAGGTGCCGTATGAAGGGATTTCTGAACAAAATTAAGAAATGAAGGGTTGTGTGCAAAGGCTATACCACCTGTGTTGAGAAGACTCCTGCTGGCTAGGGGTGAAGCCTTATGTGCTGCTGGGACGGGAGCTTTAGTGAAGGCACTGCTTGTTAAGTGTGTGCTTGTGATGGACTGATGTGTTGTCACCACAGAGGTCACACTGGGGGGAGATCTACTCTGATGGGCAACTAAAGAGACAGGGGAGGATGATACTGGCAACCCATCAGTTCTGGTCACCTTTTCTTCGTGCAGTATACTGTCAATGGAGAAGGATGAAGACTTGGCTGGGTGCTGAGAGGAGCACACAGGTGGTGCTTCAGGGGGAAGCTTCATCTCTGTTGTTGACAAGGGTTCTACTTCTGGCTCTGGCAACTGGGGTTTTTCCTGGGCATCAACTTCAGCACTCTCAACGGCAGGGATCTCAAAGCTCTTCACATCAACTGGAGACTGAGTGGGAGCCAGCTGCTCTGCAACATCTTCAGTATTCTCTGTTTGGTTTGACTCAAGGGGTAAGGCTGATACTGGAGGAAAACTACACACTTCTGGACTGGGAATTTGTGCCTCTCTCCTAATTTCTGCATCTCGATCATACATAGGTTTTAAAATAGAGATTCCTTTATGGCGAAGCTTGCTGGGAGGTTTTGATGGAGAAGGGCTTGCTTCTTTTGTATTAGTGTCTGCATGACTTAAAGGTACATCCTCTTCTGTGCACAAATTTTCTTTGCTGATAATATCATTTACAGCAGAATTCATCCCACTTTCTCCAGGTGGTTGCTCTTCTTGATTACTATCAACAACATTGGTATTTTCAGAAGTTGGAATGTGTACATCTTCAGTTTCTAGAACTGACTCAGTAACAGTGTTTGTCTCTTTTTGTTCACCTTCCACAGGTATATCTTTTATCTCTGAACTATTTATTTCCTTGGTCTCAAGCTGCTGAATAGGTAAAGAAGGTTCCACTACTTCTGCTTCTGGGGTCATATCTGAAACATCTTTATCACCAGGCTCATCTTTTTGCTGACCTTCATTAATTGGCATAACATCCTCAGTGACTACAGAAGCTGGGGGATTAACAGTGTCTCCAATGTCCATAACACCTTGGTCAATATTTGGTGATGAGAGGTCAGATACATCACCATCTTTGTCCGTTTCCTCTACAACAGTTGCCTGCTCAGTCTGATATTCACTCACCGAGTCCTTCACTACAGAAATCTCTGCAGATGTATCTTCATTAGCAGATGCCATATTTTCCTCAATCCCCATGGGAATATTTTCTGTACTTTCATTAACAGGAGTTTCTGTTGCATTTACTTCAGTACTTTCAATATCTGGCTTCCCCGCACTCTCTCCTTCATCTTTCCCATCATTTCTCAACTCATCTTCATGAGCTATACTGCTGCTGTTATAATCAGTAACTTCATTTTCATTTTCGCCAATAGATGGCAGCATGGTCACCTCTTTCTCCACTATAGCTGTCTCCTTTTCTGAGTTAGTGAGCTCCCCATCTTTACAGTCTGGTATAACTGCTATCTCATCATTCCCAACAACAGGGGCATCTTCCTTGGGAATGTTAGTCTCCATTGCAGAATCACAAACGTCCAATTTTTCTTCATCATTTCCAGTATTGCTTTGTGAATCAATTGGTAAAGCACACTTCACTTCAGAGTCATTTCCAGCATCTTCTGAAATTGAATCTGTGCTCTCTGCTTCTAAAACGCTACTAGCATTGTCAGTGTGAGATGTGTGAGACGTCTCAATTGGCACATCCATAGACTCCACTAGTGGTGATGAGGTATTCAAGTTTGTTTCATTTTGCTCAGTTTTAATTTCAGCAGCTTCACATGGTAAGGGATTCTCCTCTATTTGTGGTGACTTGGTTGTTTCTACAGCAGTAGGTTGTTCTTCCATATCCATTTTGCCTTGTTCAGGAGACTTCTCCTCCATATCTTCAGATGGCACCTTGGAAATCTCTACTTTATCTTCACTCGCTGAACTTGATGGTTCTGAAAGGAAAAGGTAAAAAAATAAGAATACTGTCTGAAAATTGCTATACCAATCTTTAAAATAAGCTATATTTTGCAATAAAATCTTTCAAACTGGCAAACAATTAAGTCCAGGGCAGTTTATGGTCTGATAATAAAATTCAATACCCTAATATTACTCTGTTGAAATGATGATGACTCTAGCTGGATTTACAATAAGCATTTTATTGATCCGAAGCTACAAGTACAGGAAATAATAGGCTTACTGTGGAGGGCAAATCTAGATTGGGATGACTTCCAAATTGAATGAATGAATGAATGTATGTGAACCCTGCCAGAATCAAAAGCCTTCCTTAGAAGGTTATTTTCCCCAAAAAACTTTATTACAAAATATAACCTCAAAGTTCATTTTCCTTCCAAAGATTGTTACAATTAATAATATAGCTTCAAAGTTCATTTTCCCCCCAAATATTATAACAAATACAACCCAAATTCCCAGACCGAACCATATTTGCAAAAACGGTATTTCTTTGGTTTAGGTAATGATTAAATTAACCTGGCTTTTTGTAAGCACAGTTTGCAGTTTCAATGGCTACCAGGCCAAAGATACTTATTTTAGATCAATATACCTCGTTTTCTTGCCAAGAAAAATAAATCTTCATTAATAATATTACAAAAAATTTTAACCATGTGCAATATTTGCAGAGGTAAATATTTATGTTACTACACACAAAGTATAGAGCAGATTATAAATCAACACAGGAATAAGTGAGTTGTCTATTATCCTTCAGACAGTGCACAAGATTAATCTTGCCTTTCACATACCCTCTTTCAGTCCTCTCTTATCTATAAGCCCATGTTGTGCTTGAATGTTGAAGTTAAATCACTGAACTGACATCTTACAAAATTGCACACATACACACAAACAAGGAAAAAAGAACAAGAGCAAGGCAAAAGGAGGTAGTAAAAGGATGTTATAAATAAATCTTTTTTAACAGTTCAAACAATATTCTTAATGGTCCACTTCAGATTATGTCAACTTCCTTCAAGGCAGCTGGTACATGAACAATGCTGTGTGGTTTGTATCACCCAGTCACTGGCAACTGTTACAAAAGATTTAATGGAGTTGAAATTTTGTCTTTTGTTGAGATTCTATAGTCACCCTACCCTTTATAATGAAAACTGGGGTCATGCAAAAAAAAAAAAAAAAAAAAAAAAAAAAAAACAACAACAAAAAAAAACATTATTTAATTTCCATATTTTGATTAAATCATCTTGGTTATGTAATCACAGAAACCAAAACCAACCTGTGTAGTAGCTGCACATATAACTGTACCTAGTCTATAAATATCATGCCTGTTTAAACTACATAAATTTTGCAATGTTTTTAGAGCGATAACAGTAGCTTTTAGACATCTGCATACATTTGTCACACATATTTTACAATGGGAGTTGTATGTTTTCAGACTGGACAGACTGTAAAATATTCCCAGAGACCAAAGCAGAGTCCCAGGTCGTTTGCACCTGCACTTGAGTTTGTCTACACATCACACCTACTGACAGTTACATTCTATCCATTACAATGCCTCCCTTCTCTACCTAACCTGACATGACTGCAAATCCACTAAGCAGGTAACGTCTGATTGTACAAGAACCCAAAGAAATTCCCATTTAAAAGAATAATAAGAAAAAACAATCTATATTTAGGTATCCTATTTCCCCCACCTTTTCAGGAACTGTGGGAAACACCAGTCATTTATCTTCCTTCACAAAATAAGCTGCCCCAACAGCAGTCTTTCATTATGTGCTTGGCTCTCGCCCAAACCATTAGGAAATCCAGGCACATAACCTAGTAACATAATCAGCAATATGCAACTCAATATTTCTCTGCATGCTGTCTCGCAAAACTGCTGCCATTTGCAATGCTGCTACTGTACACTAGGAATATATAATTAAAATATTGACACATTTTAGAGTGAAGAGTGAAGTGGAAATTAAATATAATCTTTTTGATTCCTAAGAAATCTTTTCCTGAAGAAGCGGAATATTTAATCAGCTACTTATCATTCTGACCTAGAGCCCAAGCTAACCAAGACAGAGATGATCTGATCAGACTTTTCTTAAGTTCCACTCGAACAAGCAAAATCCTTTCCTTTTACCTTTTGACCTTCCTAAGTTGTGTATCCCGTGCACCACCAAGAGGCCCCAGCACCAACGTGAAACTGTTGTCTACCAGTGCAGTGCCACAGTATATAGCACACATGACATTTTCATGCAGGTCATGTGACTTATCAGTATGCCAGTCTAATCCATCAAATAAGGCCAAGCCTCAGCACAGTCTCAAGAAATAGAGCTCTGATTTATGGCACTTGTCCAAAACTAAGCTCCATAAGATTTAAATCCCAGATTTTTTTTTGGAGGCATTTGATGTTTTGACAGGAAAACAAATACGGCCTGTCTCATGAAATCAGCAATGCAACTAAGATACATGTAGGTTCGAAGCGTATTCTATATATGTAGTTGAACCCAACAGGAATAACAATTATTTTTTAAAAATGAAAATTGCAAGGAGCTACTTAAAGGAAGTAAATGTGCACCTTAATAAGGAAAAAGAAAGTTTCTTATTGATAAAACTCTGAATTAAAATTACCTAACTATAAAGTTCACAGCAGATAATTCATTTTTGATTCACAAACAACCATCATTTCCATGAATACTGGTGTACCCTCATTTCTAAGCAATTGGTATATGCCGTCACACATTATTTTCATTTCCAAGCACTGAGCCTCAGTTCCAAAACGACCCTTAATTGGGACAAAACTAGCTGGAAATAATCACACAGGAAGACTGAGCTAGACTAAACCTCTCTTTTTGTATTTCTAATATGAAGCACAAGATGCAGTTTTGTTCCTGCATGCTAGTTAAAGTTTACAATTGAAGCCACTTGTAATATACACAACAGTCAATTATAACCACAGACTCAATGACACACCAAAATGTCGCATTTAGACAGACCATTTCTACACTCCGACTCTTTTTTCAACAATAAATAAATGCAAATTAGAGGTGGACCTACATTATCACTGAGACAAACAGTGACCTCTCATTGACTTCTAAAATTATCTGTCAAAATGATGAAGTGGTGATAACACCTGTTGCCTTTTTAACCTCAAATACCAAGCAACAAAAGTGAGGGTTGTGTAAGAAAAAAACTGACCAACTTTTATTTTGGAAATCCCTATAAAAAAATCTACTGCCATTAGAATCATATTTTAAAACTAAAATGATGTGGCAAGTTTTCACACATTTAAGAAACCTAGATCATCAATGACCAAATAAAACTGCCTCTTGAGATGGACAGATAACAACCTGCAACATAAGAAGACTAACCTGCTACAAACAAGGCACTCTCTTGGGTTTCTTCTGAAGTGGTAGGTAAATCCGTCACTGGAAAGGTTTCTTCTTTAGCTGTGCCAATGGGTACAGGGGATTCATCAATCACTGGCCTGATACTATCAGGTTCAACTTTTGATTCTGATTCAGTGTCATTCACCTCCTGACTTTGAGTGTCCAGTTCTACAGGAACTTCACGTGAAGTTGTCTGATCTTCACATTCCTTGAAAGTGCCACTGGCCGTGTCTACATCTATCCTTTTGGAATCTATTTCTGTATGACAGTTCATCACATTGTTGTTTTCTCCTGAGTGTGAATTGGTCAACATTTCAATTTTTTCACTTTTAAGTGGTAGAATTTCACTTGAATGAAAATTCATGCCCAACTCCTTTTTCTTTAAAATATCCAAAGATTTGGTATCTGTGAACACATCCATTGCATTTTGCACTTCAATACTTCCAAAGCCTTTCTTGTCATCCGAGAAATCAAAATGAGATTTGAGCAATGTTTTCTCCAATTTATTGTACTCTATGTCTGGTGGCTTTGGTGAAGTTGAAAGTGCATAATTTACTGTCACAATATTCACATCTCTCCTATCAGCAACAATGGTTGACTCACTGACAGGAGGATCATGCATGCTCTCCATACTACTGTGTGGACTTGAATCAGAGGAGCTGACAGAGCCAGTATGATTTGGCCTGGAGTTGGAGTGGTCATGTTGAATGTGATCATCAAACGACTGACTGCTGAGTTCAGAATCATGGTTATGATTGACAGTCAGTCCAGATGGATGATTAGGTGATTGTCGGCCCGTGTCCAGCTTGACCCCACTGCCTTCAGAATTTTCAGTTCCCACTCCACTTTCCGGAGAAACATTTCCAACAACATCATTGACAATTGTTTCTTTCAGCTTTGCTTTTACATGCTCCTCATAATTTTCTAACTTATTCACAATTGGGGTTTCAACAGTTTCTTTGGTCCTGATATCGTCTTCTTTGCTGACATTTTCTGCTGGATCGTTTTCATAGGACGATTCCTGCTGTGGAGATTCTGGATTCAGAGTCTTTTCCTCTGTGGTATTCACAGGTTGTGCACCCTCCTGTTCATTCATTACACCAGTAGACACTGAGGGGACACTGAGAGAGTCCTCCTCTCCAACTTTACGTCCTTCATTATGATCAGTCACTGAAGTTCTTTGGAGAATTTCTCCATTTGGTGCATCAGTGTCGCCCTGAGTTTTAGACACGTTTTCCTCCACAAAATCTACAGATACCCTAGCCTCTGGAATCAAGTCACTTTGTTGAGACCCAGATGATGCTTCAGACTTCGGTATTACATTCGTATTACCCGTCTTTCGTGCATTATGAGAAAATAAGTCACTAGGCCTGTTATATAGCCTTGTATCATGTGGCAACCAATTGTGTAAATGTCCAGCTGCAAAGGATCCAGCCCCTGCTGCCAACCTCTCACTAAACTGTCTTTTCTTTTCATCTATAATTAGTCCTTCCGAGTCCCTTTCAATGGGTTCTAACTGACCAGTGTATGGATTTACCATTTTTTCAGGACTGAACTCTGAAAAGACTTCAAACCTCTCTGAGGGAAAAGTTCTTTGATGAGGCACCTTGCCTAATTTTGATAATCCTGGTACTGTGACAAGCTCTGGTAATGATTGCGATGTTAGGGTTGAGGTTGATGCGGAAGTTGTAGTCCTGATGCAAGCTGAAGCTGTTGTGCTCAATGTTCCAGTGGTACTTAGAGCTGCAGGGTTCAGCTCTGCTAAAGGGTTTGGTATGCTCTCTATGCTCACTTCTCCCTGGACAGATGTGGGAGTAGCCACCTTGGCCTGGCCATCTTTGGGCTTCCTGGGACGCCGCTTTTTCTTTGGGGGAGGTTCACCAAAATGAGGGAAGGGTCCCTGCATAGGGAACTTTCCCACTGATGGCAAATGATTTGCATGACCACCAGACAGGTCCATCTGCAGAAGGTTCACCAACAGAGGACTGGATGTGGACAGGTCTGTGCTTGGCCTTGGAAGATTGTTCAGCTGATGAGGGTAGGCCATGGGCGAGGGCGGTGATCCTGGTGCCTGACTTACAGTTGTGGACAGCCGTGGTGAGCCAGCCTGTACTTGGCTGGTGGTAGGGGAAGGTAAGTTGTGACTAGTAGTTGGTGAAGTATAGCCAGTCAGGCTCCTGCCTGGAGGTGTGTTATTAAAAGGAGTATTCCTCCCAGGTGATGTGTAAGCTGGCTGACTAATGTGGTGAAATGGGATGGGATCACTGCGAGTAACAACAGTATTTGGGGACTTAAAGCCTCCTGGCTCAAATATTGAATCAAATATTGTCCCTGATGTGGAAGAAGATGCTGTTGCTGTAGCAGTTGATGTTGCTGCTGCTGCCGCTGCTGTAGATCCCTGCTGTCTCAAATATTGTGCAATGTTTTTCCTTGTAGATTCAACACCACTTGGCCCTGCTCGATTCATGGAATCAGAAGTGGCCATGTCAAACATATTGCTACTACTAGATCCAGACTGTCCAGCAGTACGAAACACCAACTGTGTCCTTTCATTGTTCTTCCCAGCTATTGTTAATGAAATGACCTCATCTCCCTCTATCTGTACAGCTAAAACCCCCAGCTCTAGCAGGGTCCTGTCTCCATGGGCTGCTAGCTGACGTAACCTGACTGCAGCTTCTTTGGGGATATTGAATGTGACCCGCACACTGTTCCATGGTTCAACCTTTTTCAAGATCAGCTTTTCTTTTTCTGAAAAACAAATTGAAAAACCTTATGAAAACATGATCAAAATAACCTCTTTTTTTTGTTGTTTTTGTTCAGAATATCTTTCTTTAAATTCTTTCTTCCATTAAAAATTAATGAGGACAACAGAGCTTAAAATACTGAATTTGCTTTGCAGTGCCTTTCAATTTATAATGTATATTTAGGTCCTGGAAACTAGTAAGTGGCAGTTTTCCTACATAACACATAGGCCTTATTTTTCTGCATTTACTTTTATAACTTCAATTTTTAAAATACTGTTTACTGTTAGGAAATGACAAATTTTTGAAAGATCTTTAAAAATCCAAGTAGGTCACACCAAATAAACAAAAGTTGAAATATACAAAACATATTTTAATGTATTTTTTATGAGTAATTTCATTATTTATGCTATTTCCTTAACAATAAATTAAATATAAAAGCATTGAATTCTGGGATTTTAAAGAAAATATCAAAGAAACAAAACATTAATTCAATAATCAGTTAATTATATAGAACATACAATTTAAAACAAATTTCAAATGCAAATGACCATTGGGAAGATAAATTGAACTGACAAAAAGCAATAAAGAAATCATAATTTATGCATATCTGCAAAATCATCTTGATTTCAAACAATGTGATGCTGGAGTATTTGCTCACATCTCCGTTCACCCACTAATATTGAAAAACTACAGATCATTTGCTGAGAACTATTTCTTTCCCTGCATTATCACTTGGCCTAGTTCTTTCTATGCAGTTGTTGACTTAACTGTAGAACTGGCATATTGCCAACTATCAAATAATTAAATTCAGAATTATTCCCAAACACCATTAACCTGCATAGACCACAGGTAACATATCTGATTAGATCAACTAATTAAAATATGACATTAATTGTGATTGATCACCATAATACAACATTACCATGGCAACCAATACCCTTTATATAAATTATTATCAATGAAGAAAAATAATACCAACTAGAGGATCAGAGAGGCGATACNAATAAAGCACTATTAATGTTTTTCATTGAAAATTACCTTTTAACAATAATTTTGTTAATTTCCTTTCCAGACTTTTTAGTCTAACAGGTAGGTTGGGGTCATTGAAATCTCCCTCACAGGTGAAGACAGTCTCAATATAGGTCTCTTGTGGCCCCATCTTCCAAGCACAAGATCCTGAAAGGAAAAAAGTGAGGTAGGTGTCATCTCTTCTCATGAAATCTCATATTAAAAGAAATGACATAACATAATCCATTAGTTGTGTTGGTTGTTATTTTCCAATACATACCACTATTTCATCTTAAAAACAGCTAGTAGTTACAGTGATCCGTCTCTGGTTACCCCTGAAGCTACATCCTATAACCGAGTACCAAGCACGAAAATTCATTTGAATCAATGGTATCAATGTATTATAGGCAAATACACATGTACCACTATGCCACTGAATTATTTAAGTTACCAAATATTTCTATTTAGTGGTTACTTGTATTTCAATATTCTTCACTAAAAGTTACACAGTTCAACAACATTGTTCCTCCAACAGCTGACTTGAAGTTCAGTTGCAATTCATAAAACAAATACTAGTTGTGTTAGGTGTGTCTGTCTTACACCAATACAAAAAAGTTCTTGCTAAATTATTTGATGCATAGAGGAGGGGAGCTTAAAGCTGGCAGGAAACAAGCAAAAATAAAATCTGTTGTCAGACATCTTAAGGGATGTGATGATAACACTTCCATCATATTACCTTCACTGATTACATAACATGGTGATATAACACAGAAAATAACATTTGAAATAATGAATAATGATCTTACCAAAGTTTAAAAAAATACACAATTACTGGAATGTCTCATGTAAAATGAATAGTTTCAGAAGTGTTTTTTGTTTTAATTTCTTGTAACTTGTAAGCATACACAAATTCCACAAATTAAAGCTGACCCTCACAAATGGAGGTTACATACTGTATGTCAACAGAAAATTAAACAATATACAAAATGTCAGACAGATGAGATAATAGACATTCTTAATGACAAGAATATTTAGATGTCAAATAAATCATCATAACTTTCTGTATGCATATATTAATCTACAAAAAGGCTGTTCAAAAATGTTTACAGATTTTGTGACAAACAGTGTTATCTGCATCATGACATCTTTATGACCAGCAAATCTGCAATGGTCCTAAAATTAATGAAACAATACCAGCATATGTTTGCATCTGATTTAGAAGATGTCTTAAAACTTCTTCTAAGGCCTACTTTTTCTTGAAATGCAGAAACTGTATATATTTGCTCAAGGTAAATTCGCAAAAAATCTAACAAAGAAGGCTGCTTAAGTCCTACCAAAAATTTTAAAATACCGTTTTCTGCAAATGCAATCACGTTCGGATGGAGTTGTGTGATGCATTAAACATTTCAATTTCAGAATTCACATGCAATTTTCTAATGCGCAAAAAGGACCGCTATTCTGTGTTATTTATTTTATTGATATCCATGTGACGCCAAATCGCAGTGCAAGCGATCCAGATTGCATGTTCAGAAAGAAAGGTTCGAAACTTATCGTTCGGAGACGCAGGGACTTCTTTAAAATCCAACCCACTTATACAAAATATCTAACTTGGGTATTTACGTTAAAAAATATGCAAATATATTTGTTAATTATTGTTTGTTTGGAAATTTAATAATAATTGGGGGCTGACCTGGAGATGGAGGTTCATGGCGTGGCCCTTACTTCAACTTCTTGTAATTATAATAATTGAACAGTACGACAGTGCGCCCTGCACGAGTGAGAAGAAATGACATAATTCAATTCATTCAGACTGATGACTCTTGCAGACTTACCCTTTAAAGGAATATTTCCTGGTACAAAATCCTATCTTTTATGTCTGCCATTGAACAATAACAAGTGCCGCCATTTGCAATCCACTGATGACGCATGCGTATTGGGTTTCAAGAATGACGGGAAATTTTTCATTAGCCCACCAGGTGTCGCCACATTGCTATGGTAAACAAATTTTCTTCTGGCAAGGGCGGTCATTTCTCGCAAACATGTCAGCAAATATAAGTAACCTGCAACGAGACAAAACCAATGACGCTTCTCCTCCGTAGGAAAGAGAACCTTGCATGCGTTTCCTTAATCCATGGGCATAACGTTGATTATTTACGTAAGAATAATTACTTCAACCTTGGAAATGAGCAGCAGTTGGGTTAGTTATGTGCAAAAAGTAAATAAATGCAGTAATGATCTGCATGTGGCAAGTGCAGTTTGAAAACCAATGAGAAATGACAGAAAAAAAGAATGAAAAGGAAAGTGATAAAAGAAATTAGAACAGGTGATTCCCTTCAATAGGCTACAATCATTTACCAATATAATTCCCTGGTTAGAATTACTGTTAAACTGAATTTTGATCGCAGTCTTAAGAGATTAAGATCTGACAGCAAAGAAAACTGATCCATTCACTGCAAAAAAAGTTTTTCTTTATTATTCAATATGATAAAGGAAATTTAATATACCCCTTGTTTCCAGAAGAACATGCACAAATGCAAAATGCCTGTTTGATTTTCCATTATTTACAAGTTGGGTCAGGATAATTAATACCCATTGCCATGTGGACCCTAACACACTGTTTGACTTGTCATACCCTGCTATCAAGGAGGAGCTGAGCAAGCACAAATTTTACTTTTCTGTAGCCTTGAAAGTCTCCTAAATTCAAATTTCTGTTAAAAATACCAAATACAATTTATTTATATTTGTTCCTTTATTAACTTCAGAAAATCTTTTATATTGTTATCTTTGAATTTAACATTATAGTCTTGTACTCTCACTGGGAGAATAAAATTCTTCAGTTGATGTTGCCTCTGTAGATCATCTGGTTGGAGCAACATATTCAGCTTCTCCAACAGCATCTCAACTAACACACTCCATCAAAATAAGTTTCAAGATATTCAAAATACCTTCATTAATATCAATGCATTAAGTGACAATAATTTTCATATATGGCCTCAAGCCTCACAAATAAATACAAGACTCACTTCTTTCAACTCAAGAGTACCATTTCAAACGGCACATAAACCACATTCACTGATAAAATGGTTAGAAATATGTAACAGGGGGCTTCAGATTCAGTATTGGTTTTCTGCTTTTCCAAGCAGTTAACAGATTCTGTTTGAAATGAGTCGGGAGTGCTTAGATATATCCAATGGGCATTCCATTGAAAGTCATCCTTTTTAAATTTTAAATAAGCATCCTCATCAACATTTCCTTTATTTCCAACCCCCTCCATGCCCTCCAAAATGTCCAAATGTGCACAGCCTCTGTGAAATCCAAGTCCTCATCATCATCCTCATTCCTCAGCATCAGTCCTCCTCAGCTTCTCCTTTTTCTCCTTCCTCTTCCTCCTCCTCAGCTTTTCCCATTGTTTCATCAAAGTCATCAGCGTCATCATCACCATCCACCTCTCTGTTCATTTCCTCCAGTTTTTCCAGCTGCTTGGCAAGCTCCAGCTCATCAGTGTCTGATACAACCTTAGGCTGGAAAAGCAGGAGGGATCATTATTATAAGACAGAAATTTTGTAAACAAAAACTTAGACATCGTGCTGCTTATGGTTCTACTTATCTTTCTAAGGGGCTGTTCAAAATTAGTTAGATCCCAATAGCTACTTTGCACTTATTCTATGGGGACTCTTGTTGAATGCAATCAGTTAAACAGACCAACACGCCTCCTCTTGCAATGCTCCTCAATCCCCAATCATCCCCCTCGAGTACTCATAAAATCACCAGCTTTTCTGTATTCTACTCAATGCAAGGGGTGTTAATTTGTTAATCTCCCAGTTCCCATGAAGTTAGTGAGCACTGGCTATTGCGACCTAACTCATTCTGAAAGGCCCCTTAACATTAAGTAAAATCAAGAAAAGAACTGTCTTTTGAGATTCTGTTTGAATAATAAAGGTAGTGTAAAACAAAGATTATAATATGCCTCAAAATTGAAACAATATACTGCATTGTTATTCTTCACACAACAAGGCACACAAACTAGTATCAATGCTCTTGTTAAATGGTATTCATTATGCATGTGCTCAAACAAACAGATTTTAAAAACCTACATCCATAATAATTTTGAAGGATCCTCCCTGATCTTCTATACTGTCCTTGATCTTACTCATGGCTGCATTGAGTTTGGCCAGGCCTTCAACTCTCTCTAGTGTTGTGGTCGTCATCACATATGTTGGGGGAGCTATGAGATTGATCTGAAAGTAGAAAATGGTAAGTTACTGGGATGACTTTGTTTAACTTTAGCGACAAACTAAGGGTCAAACAACGAAAAGCAACAACTCTTAAAATGAATGATTAACCAACAAAAGTAAATCTGAGTTTAAAAGAGCAGTACATAAATAAATTGGTATGATAAAAACCTTTCAATAAAATACTGGTTGGAATTTTCCACCAACATGAAAAAAATTGACAAAGGAGGGGGGGGGGAAAGAGTGACCACTTGAAGAAAAATAAAAGAATGAAAACTTGACTTAATCAGTGCCTTGTGATATACTGCATTCAATGCTGCTTTCAACAGCAAAATATTTTCCAGGTATTACAATCTCTAATTTTAGATATTAATTAAGCCCTTTGAACCAAATGTTCCTTACTTTAATAGGCATGTCTTCTGTAGAAAGGTTTAAGCCTGCATTGAGAGCTGATTTGACTGCATCAATACCTTCATAGCCATAGCACCTGACATCAAGATCTGAAAAATAATGCAGATAAATATTAACCGTATTTTTTCTGCAAAAATAATCTTGGTGTAAATCATTTAAGATGGTAAACAGCAAACACGTTATCTTTGGCAAAGTGAGCAGGCTGATATTATAACATAATTTTAATCAAATTCCATATAATATAAATGTTCATGAACTACAAAAACGGGTGGTAAAAGTACTTTGTCATTAGATATTTGTTATAAGTAAACAGTAGATAGCATGCAACTATAATGTGAATCACACTAGTAAATTATGCTCAAGAAAACTTTTCTAGCAAATAGAAAGAATGTCAAGTGTTAACAACAGACTTTACGAAAGGCGTCGGACCGTCGGACATGCCTGGCAAATTTCGTCTCGGTCCGATAAAAAATCCTGTATCGTCGGACCTTATGTCCGGCGAGTTTTCAAACTGACTGGGAATGTGTAAATATAAGGAATACGTTTTTGTTTCTTTTCTGGACGATATGTTTTACTTCATTCGAAAAGAGAGACGGGGTGAAAATCTAGGGGAGTTCCCAGCTAATTATACATAATTTATAAACCTCAGTTTCACTCACAAATACTATTTTATGACTGGCTGAGGTTGGGGAGTTCCTGAATGATGTAATGTACAGTCTCGTTTTCATTTTCGTGATACCCTACACAACAAAATGGCCGCAACACATGTGCTCGTGCTATTTGCGTTTTTACCGACTTGATCCTCTGTTTCTTCATTATCAGTCGTACACAGTACTCCTGGATAAGCCTTTTGCTTAGAAAATGACGTTGTTGAACTTTAAACACTTCGTTGGTGTAAAGCGTGGCAAAAATGAAAACGAAGTGAAGAAGAGAAACGGAAGTTTAATAAAATTGGAAAGAAGGTAGGCCCTGGCGGACTTGTGATCTGTAGGAGAGGAAAATAGTGTGTGCCGAGTGACAGGAGTACTAAAGTTATCATTTTGATCAATAGCAACATAAATGTGACAGCTTTACTACGGGTTCTTAAATTATGGAACATATGTACGTATTTGCATGTACCGTTCATCACGAGTTGGAAAAAGTGCACATGAACTTGATGAAAGCTCACAGTTTGAGTTTCTTTTTATTAAAAAATATAATAATAAAATGAAAAAGGAACTTAGACTCGGACTGGACAGTCCCTGTCCAAGCTTTAATTGGATGAAAGAGACTGCCTTACTGTGCTGTTTCAAAATGCATATGTTATTGCCAAAAACAACGTGTGAAATGGTTATCTGATTAACAGACGTTTTTTATGGACATACATTTGATATTACTAGCTACACATTCTTCATACTTGTATTGTTTTTAGTCCTTGTGTCATTCCACAGCGTCTTTTTCATTAAATAAAAAACAACTTATTATGCAAGTAATTTTTTGCCTATTTTTTTCTTTCTTATTTTACTTTTTTACAAATAAATATATATCAAAAAATTAATATTTGATTAAATGTCAGTGATTTAAAACGTTAGAAAATACACATGAAAACATGAATAATGGTTCATATTTCTATTATTTTACTTCGGTTTGACAGATTTTGTTTCGGTCTGACAGAATTTTCAAGCTTGTCAGACCGAATGTCTGACATATTTTTTGGCCTTTCGTAAAGTCTGTAACAAGTACTCTAAAACTGTAGGCAAGCTCTCTGAGACTCTCTTATATACTGGGTCTAAGAAAACATCAACAGTTTAAAGAACGGATGTTTTTATATTCACAAATGTTATCATCATAAACTATGAAAATGCCAACCTGCTCTGATCTTGACAGCCTGCGGCGTGAGCCTTCTCTTGATGTTGGCTGCTAGAACTTTCTTTGTGTGGTCATCAATATCACACTCATCAAGGATTTCTGGGTTCCTGAAAATCATAACATTACAGAGTATGTGAAAGCTTTGCAAACGAGATGGACTATTAAAATGGTAATTTCATAAGATGTGACTCTCCATGTCAGGTCTGTGATGTAAACATTTTGTGTAGTACTTGCTTAACAGTTTTATAGCAATTTTTAATTACTGTTGATATCCTTTAACACTAGAGGGCACTTTGGTATAAAACAAAAATGGGCAAGTCAGAATTTTAATAATATTAAATGTGAGCAACACTGGAATTACTGTGTCACTTTTTTGTGAAATGGCCCAAAACTCTATCCTTTCCTTCATATAAAAATAATTACAACAGGTAAACAAACCTAGGAAATCAACTTTATCTAAATATTATCTAGTATTAAGCTTTTCAAAGATTATGAAATGAAACAGTATAATAATCAGTTGTGTTTGGTAACATGCAACCTGAGTTTTTAAACAACTTACGTAACAGCGTGTTTGAATGCCTCGTAGGAAGCACCTGTTTTTCCATATTTGTCATCAAAAAACCATGCTGTCTTTTTATACAACTCTTCCAGCTGTTCATCCGATTCATATGATAAAAGCTCACCCACATGCCTTAAGATGCTGTTGACCTTTGAAAGAGAATTTCATATTTTAATGGGCATTATAATGATACTTCTCATAGCGACAATAATAATGTCTTTAATTGTTTCTTTTCTAAATCACCTCCAATGATAAAATATCTGTTTTGATTTATATGAGGAAAATGAACATATCAAAACTATTCATTGATTTATGCCTTTTGTCAATGGTGTTAATTGTAACTTACTGTTTTAGCTTTGGCAAATTTTTCTTCACATCTCATAACTTCTTCTGTTGATACTCTTCTTTTGGAAAGATCAATATAACCTGGAATGATACATCCAAGTTTTAAGGAAAAAAAACTGAGATTTGCAATATCCGAATTTACAACAGTAATTCAAATACACAAACGACTCAGTACATAATATTGATCTTTCTTTTGGTGCTAATAATTGCTTTATTAATGTGAAATTTTCAGCAGTAGAGAATCGAAGCCAATCAAGACTGGCAGATTGGAGATTATTTTAAAAAATAGTGAAATATATCAACAAACAATACCTTTGTCTTTGTCCACCCTGATGACTACGACGCACTCATTGCGACCAATCTTGATTAATTTGTTGATGGACCTGATCCTCCTCCTAGACAGTTCACTAAGAAGTATCATACCCTCAATGTTGTTGTATTCTAGGAGATGGACATAGGCTCCCATTTCTGCTATGGACCGCACATTGACCATTACAACATCTTCCACCTCAGGAAACTTATGTGCATAAAATCGACAGAACAGCGGCATCTTGAAAAAATATACCTGAAACAGGATGAAGATCTTTTTAATTTGCGGTATTAGAATGTTTCCATCACAAAGAATACAAGAACATGTGGTGTTAATTTTGGAACATATCAAAATATCATCACTTTATTGCTTTTGAAGTGGAAGACTTAAACAAAATATAAGGTATTGATATGAACCAATGTTATTATCACTGGTAAGTAAGGATAGTAGTGCTACAATCATTGTAGTAGGCCCTTTCAAAAACACTAAAATCTGTGAACAGTTATCGGAATATTTGAATAAAGATACATGACGCCGTAACACGTAATTTAAGCGGTCAACTGTAATTCAAAACTTAAAAAGAACAAGCATTAAGGTATTTGATCGAATTTGAAATTATGAATATAACACCAACAATGACAGTCTCTGAATAACATACGGAGAATTCTAGATGCCGGAGAGGGATTTCTCAAAGTATCGCCGGCGTTAACCGTAAGAAAAATAGTAAACATTTCAATATAGATTTAAGGAACAATATTTCCAAGTAATTTTAATTATGAATGAAACCGAAGACCCGTTATGTACAAGAATGATTAAAAATACACACGTGCAAACCTGATGCAATGGCGATTACAACAGTCTTTTATGACTGTAGACGGCAGCACAAGACGGAAAATGAATTTCTTCTATCAAGAAAAGACACTCACGAGTAAACTTCTAGGCATGCGTTCTTTTTATCATGACAAAACGGTAAATTTTATTACAGCTTTAGAAATCTGCTGTCCTGATAAGCTGTGGTCAGTCAGTGAACAATGAGTATAAAATTGAACCAGTAGACTATCTTGAAAACCAATTCTGGTACCGGCAAGTGGCGCCTCATAACGTTCACATTGATACGTGTACTAGTGCCACACCTCTCCGCAGCTCGTTACTAAAAAGGATCATCACCTTGTTAAAAGAAAACTGCATGAGAGAGGTGTCATTATGTGGGGGCACTTCATAAACGTTAATGCATTTACCCAGGCAGAAATATGCACACTGATATACCGTTATATAATTTGATGGGTCATAGTTAAAAACCAATCTAGTACTTTAAGTTTCGTGATAATTTTAGTTGAGAGACTGTCAAGTTTAGATACATGATCAGCAATTTTGCCAGAGGTAGCTGTTTTTATTATGTAAAAAATTTTAATCAAAATGTAGCATCTTTCGAAAATTTAAAATAAGCAGTTGTTTCAAAGGGAAAAAATCTGACAAAGAAAATTATATCAACTGTCCAAGCACCAATACAAGTGTAACCATTATAGCATATACAGATTTTTTAAAATTATTAAAATTAAAAAAAAAAAAAAAAAAAAAAAAAAAAACTGGGAAAATCCAGATGCCCGTCTCTTTATTAGATACATTTAAACAGTTACATGGCGATGCTTTTTATGCTAATGATATATATAGGGTAAGGATAATAATGAAATGTGATTTTATGCACTTAATTTTCATGCTTTATAAATTTCTTATAAAATCTGTACATTAAAACTTTTCACCAATAAAGAGTTAATGAAATGTTTTTTTTTTCAATTACTCATTACATCACCCCAAAAACAATGTTACACACAGGTGAACTGGGTACGTTACTCTCTACAATAAAAATATCATTTCACTAAAATTAAGATGCACAATAGGTAAGATTTTCATTACTACAAGTTATTATTTACAGTAAAAATTTTATTCTTATTCCAATTTTGATCAGTAAATGTAAAAAAGACATCAATTGAGGCCTTCAATTTACTTGAAACATTTACAGATAGACCAAAGGCAGGAGCCTTCAAACAATATTTACAGTACAGTTATTCTCAAAAGCACAACTTTCTCCCAACATTAAAGTGATTCTCACAAGAATACATTTCTGATAATTTTCTATCAAAATGATAGTCCTGAGAAGTCTTGAATGCAGCATGAGTTTTCTTTCCATTTCTTTCTTGAAAAATGTCAATTCCTTGCCTATTAACCTTTGTGTTGAAAAAATACAAGTTTTGCCTCTTCATCTCTTAGGTTCTTGATGCTATAGCAATTACCTAGAAAAAATACAAATATTCTTTACTGTTACAATAACAGGAAACTGATATTTAAATATGTGATAGTACACACAAAATGATATGTGCCAGAGTAACAGTGATACCTGACACTTCACAGAATCTTAGTATTATGTGAGATAAGGGTTTGTCACCTGAGAGGTACATGTCAAAACACCTGGAGTGTCAGCAGCAGGTGTTCAAGACATATATTCCGAGAAAGTGGCAGTGTACCATTTCACAGAAAAACACCCCCCAAAATCCACTTTAGTGTTTATTGCCGGTCACGTAGAATCACCATGTATTTATTTTTATCTCAGTCAAGGAGGTAGTTTTCACCTCGTTTGTTTGTTTGTTCGTCATCAGCTTAACTCAAAAAGTTATGGATGGATTATGCTGAAATTTTCAAGATAGGTCAGAAATTTGCCAACTTAAAAGGGATTTGATTTTGGTGGTGATCCAGATCACCATGTGAATCCAAAATTTTTTAAAGATTCTTAAATCTCCACCATTGCGAGGTGGGGCCAATGAGCTTGATCCATTGTGCGATGAATGTGTTCTCAACTACAACATTTTATCACTTTTTATGATCTTTTCTATTACTATTATTTACTTTTTGTAAATAGAATATGAAGTTTGGTCACTTTAAAAAATCTAAATCATTTCAGTTAAATACATCATATTTAAAATACTTAAATTACATTAACTATCAAGGAATGAAACCAAAATTTTAGATCCATCATGGAGGCTACATGAGGTGAGAGACGGCAATTAAATTTGTAATGTCTGCTTAGAAAATTATTATAGATACAGCATTCTACATAAAAGAATAACAGGGAAGTGCCATGGTTTTTAACAGAAAAGTACTAAAACAGGATTCACACAGGAATACTAGGAACAATTTTCAAGGACTTTTGAGGTTTTAATTCAACCATTTTAAAAGAAAATGAGGGCAAAAGACAGTACTTTTATTTGTAAGTGTACATACCAAAGATAAAAGAAAAGTTATATTTCATACAAACTTTTTATTTTAACACATTAATGATCAAACATAAAAGTATGTGCAGTACTGTGCCATTTAGTGGACCTTTATGAACTGGAAAGTCAAGTAAATAGGTCAATTGAAGACCAAAAATTTGAAGAAGGTGCAGTTTTGGTGTTATTCTTTGGCTGAACCATTTGGTTAATGACTTGGTATGACAACTTAATTTTAGTTGTATAAGAAACTAGTAGAAGTGATATGTTATATGCATTACTGGAAATCCACACTCACTTTATAAGTAACTTTTAAATGACAAAACCTGAAATAATTTTTGACAAATTTCTTATTGATCAAATTCAATTACTTTTCAAGGGCAAAAATGATGGAATACAAGCCCTTTTCAAAGCTTATTGTAATTTTCAGGCCAGAAACTAAATTCAAAGTGAAGGGCTAAATTCAAGAACTTCTCAAGGGCTGTATAAATTCTGTAAAAAGAAAAACCTCGCTCAAACTCCAAATAAATTTATGGAATATTTTGTGTTAAATATTCACTATTTAGGCTCACGGCCACAGATAACTATGAATTAACCATCACCTATCAATTGTATGACACGAAAGTCGTGCTGCAGGTGCTCTAAACATGTGTATATTTGCTGAGGATTACCTTTTGGCACAAAGAACACATCCCCACTCTCCAGTATAGTACAGGTCTTGTGGATTGTGACAGCCAGTTTACCCACATTTATACGGAACACCTGTGGGACAGAAGTTTTAAAAATGATGAACTTTAAATATTAATGGATATCTTTCCCTTTCTTACCTCATGTAATGAACTGGCTATTGACAAGAACAAATTCATATTTCTAACAAGGTTATTACACATACCTATTCAAGTGAGTGAATTCTTTTAGTCATCCAGTAGAATTAGAATTAAACTACGAGTACCTTTAATACTGGAACTTACGTCAGCAACCATCCAGGTTAATACCTAGTGAAAGGTCTCACGCTGAGGCTTCAACATTGGTCAGTTGCTAACATAAGTTCCAGTATCAGAGTTATACACAGTTCCAAGAACATATTACATTCTTGATAACTCTTATACCTATTCAAGGTTAATTATGTATAACGAACAATGACAATGATTACAGATTAATTTTTCGACTCCTGCCTACCATGGTGTCATTCTTGACAAACTGCATGGGTTTCTCCCTCAGGGGTCTCAGTATCAGCTCCCCCACTGAGAACGCCTTCTGCTGGACACTCTTACAGAGAATGAGGTCATCTGTGGGCTCTGCTAGCTGGGCACTGGGTCCCAGGAAGACTAAATTATCACGGCTTTTAATACAATCTGAAACAAATAAACACATTACAAATGAGACCTTTGTCAACCCATTTTGGCCAGAGTTTAGCATCTTATACATCATCATCATCATCATCAGCATAATAATTATAATAACTGAATGTTGTACAATGTTAGTTAAACATACTTTTCAAGTCCATCTGACTTTAATTCTATAGTTAGAAAAGCATGTTTAAATTGCACACTAAATTCATCACACTGTGTGCGACAAATTGCATCATCTCAGTTTTACTTAATGTATTGTCTTTACCAACATAAACTTCTTCCTGTGTCTCAGGGTTAACTACAGCCACCAGGTCATCCTCATATGCCAGCTCTGTATCAGAAGACACATCAACATGCATGGACATGTTACGTGGCGTGTGAGGGGCACCTGCACCTGAAGTGAGCATATAGTGTGCACAGTTATCTTATCTGATGGTAGTTATATAAAAGTCTGAAAATAAACAGTTAAAAGTTTAAAATTTATTGGAAAAAGAATTCTACCATTTTCTCCTAATCTTCCGTCTACCTGAAAGCACCTGGACACACCTTTATGACTTAATGAACCTCACAGCTGTTAATCACACAATCCAAAATTAACACATTCCAATGCTGGTGCTAACTCTAACACCCTGGTATTAACAAGATGTGAACACGTCACCTTTTCTTCTGCCTTTGGCCTTTTTCAACTTTTTCTTTGATTTAGGCTTTTCATCAACTGGTGGAGGAAGAATCCCAGTAACAATAAATCCACCTAAAATTAAAGAAATATTATCCTGTTTGTTTATTTATTACTGAATACATACATAATAGTGCAGTGTGTCTTCTTAATCATTTTTCAGTGTTAGTGCAGATTGCATTTACAGTTATCACTCACACTGAAATAAATATCAATAAAAAAAAAGACAATAATTGAAAAAAAAAAAAAAAAAAACACACACACACACACACACACACACACACACATTTTTAATTACATTCCACTTAGACACTGTATTTGAACCCCCCACCCCTCCCCTGTCAAGAAGTCTCATATGTTACAGTTACTGTGTATTATAAAGTGCACACTGACCAGACTTGCGCCTTGAATATTTGGGTCGTTCATTTTTATACCACTGCAGTGGGGGAATTCTGGTCCTGCTGGATCTCCTCAAACCATCTGGTGCAGGCTCAGGAACAACTAGACACACAGAGGGAAAACCAACACTTATTTGGATCTTAAAAGGATTGTATTTGAATTTGGTTACCAAATATTGAGAAAAAATATGCAACTGTATGAGAAACAGTCTTAAACATTTCACAGTATGGTGAAATACTTATCAACTCAAACAATTATCAAATCTTTGTATCACAATAATACTCACTTAGTTTAACTGTCTTTGTTGGTTTCTCAGGAATCTGAGGTGTTTCTGAGGCTGTGACTTCAAAGAAATGTTGAGGTGGAGCTGTAGAGAACCTCGGAGTGCGACTGACTCCTACACTGTCTGACAATTCAAAGGAGTGCAGAAGACTCTTTTCTGCTACAACAGGGGAACTTTCTGCACTGTAGGGGGTGCCACGAGGGGTTTTCTTCAATATTGATTTCAAGACAGTCCCAGAACCTACAACAAGTGAGATGAACATCCATCATGTAAGCCCACATCCAACCCACCCATCCACATTAAGAAAACAGGTATACAGATGTACTTGAACCAAAATTTTGAAAGCAATATCATAAGTCATAAAACTGTGTACAGTGTTAAAATCTTGTAAATATGACACAATACTGATACTATGACTAGTAAAACTTGAGCAGAACATGATTGTGAAGTAAATTTATTCTAGTAAACAGGATCTGCATCATACCAGAGGGAGTAGGCAGGGCCGGGGCTGTACTGACAGTTACGCTCTTTCTTTTCTTCTTTACAGTTGGTGGACTTGGGAGAACATCATCAGCATATTCCTCACTTTCATGTGGACTGTCATTGTCTTCAGCAGGAGGAATAGGGTCACTTTTGCGCTTTCCTATTTTCAAAATACAGCCACAATTTAGACCATATCATCTTTTTAGTAGAGTTTCAAGCACATGGAACTAAAGTAACTAAAACTGCAAAGCAGCTTATTCAAAACATGACAAGCAATGACTCAAATTTATTTTATAAAGATGGTAACATCTGCACCAGTCAGGCAAAGAAAAGTTATGTATATCATAGAGATAAGGAAAGCTATTTAATACTGTATCAAAATCACAACCAAACTCAGGGTTACATGACCTCCTCTGATCTGCTTTCAGGCATGATTTTTTGGGTATGTGAGAAAAAATGTAGCAAGAAATGACCCTATGACATTATGACAGGGGTTCCTAGGGACATTTCAGGTGAAAAAAACGGAGAAAAAACTGGGTTTCTGATTTAAATGGGGAAAAAAAATAATTTCTGTGCTTCTACCTTTCACAATGCCTGGTTTGTTCCGTTTCTTTTCAGCAGTTTTCTTTGTGGATGTTTCTTTTACATTCTTCCTTCCTTTTTTCAAAGATGGTGGGCTGGGTGGTGGGGCCTCTTCCTCATCACTCCCCTCCTCAACATCACCATTTGGTTTAGAAGAAACACTTGTACTTCTGCTCTTGCCTACATAAAACATAATCCCAGTGTCATGAATACCATACCTAATGAAGTCACTAACTAAGTCTGGTTTTAAACTTACAGAGCCACTAACTTTTAAAATATATTTCTTGATAATCATGAAGAAAAATTTTATTAGCATTTAATATCTTATTGCACATTATGGCATGGTGGACGTGAACTTTATAACATGAATTATCACAGGCAATATTAAATATGATCTTTAAATCTGCCACTGCAATACTGGGATTAGTTTCGCCTATGGGCTAGATTCAAATCTAATTATATCAAATATATCTTTTGAATAAGGAAACCCTATGTGTTGTTCTATAAACAAATAACATTTACCAACATGGTAAGAGATGGTCATTTCCTATCAAACTATACTTGATATTCAATATTCAGCAAAATAATAAATACTTGCCATTTATAGTTCCATCTAGGCATTCAGAAAAGTAATCTGAAAATTCATCAGCTGTCTCCTCTGTTCCAGAGTGCACACTCTTTCTAGGACGACCTAAAACAACCACCATGGTATGAGTGGGAAAACGCACTTACTACATCACTATATTATTCAATCTAAACTCTTAGATAAATGCCGCAGCATCAAATGTGCTGTTTTGAATAAAAATAGCATGAAAGGTGAAAGTTGTAAAAAACTCACCAGAATTATACAATTTGAGAAAATGATAAAAATGAAGACTGACAATCCTGGCATAATTCAGAAAATTTCACCCATGTTATAAAATAACTAAGCATGCTTGCATTATTAAGACTTCTCATTCACTACATTGATAAGTGACTTCCTCTATTCTTAATCCATCACCTAATTTATACAATTACCTTTCCCTTTCATTTCTTTGCTCGCTTCTCCCTTTCCTTTCTTGTCCAGTTTAGACCGAGACATTCTCCTTTTGGCCCTGATAACTTTGCCTGACTTTAAAGCACTAGCAGGTTCTGGGGCCTCACCTACATGGCTATTCTCTTCCTCAATGGTGGAAACATTGGGAGTCATATGGGCAATTGTTCTCCTCTTATTCTGCACTACACTGGAAATATTGGGGGTGACACCGTCGGAAGCAGCTGTCCTCTCATCATTCTTATCCTCCATATATTCACCTATTTCTCCTTGATTCACTTCACCATGTTCATCAGCGGTGTTATTTCTATTGCTGTTATTGTTCCCAGTGTTCCTGTGGCCCTTTTTACCATCTGAGTCTTTAGTAATTTTCCTTTTTCTTCCTGGCCCCGAGCCTGTGTCTTCACTGTTGGGTGTGAGTTTTTTGTTTTCAACAGGTGACACATTGAATAAATTTTCAAACGAGCGTCTGTTGTCAACTTTCTTTTCCCCATGCCCACTCTGAGGCTGACCTGCAAAGCTGTCATTTCCACCTCTTGCTTTCAGAGGCTCTTCATCCTCTGACTTATCTTCCATGGGGGATGACAGTTTTTTAGACTTACTACTGGACTTATTTCTGCCTGCAGTATTCTTACTGCTTTTTTCTTTCTGGTGCTTTTTTTCTCTTTTCTTTCCTTTAGACCTTTTCTTAGGTTCAGTCGTCTCAAGTGAGGAGTTCATGGTGGTAGAGAGATCGGTGACATATCTGCTTGGTATTTCATCTATGATCTCATACTCATCTTCATCACTCTCATTTTCATCTACTATTGACTTTCTCTTAGATATAAGGTTCAGTGTGGAAAAGCGGTCAGTAACGCCTTCCCCAGAATCATTGTGAGGGAACAACGTATGCAAAGATGTATGTTTTGGGTGAATTTTCTGCTGCAAATTTGTGTTTTGGCTTCCTGTTTGCAGTTCATTTTCAGATTCTGAACACTGTGCTCTTTTTGTTGCTACCTGATCAGATTTGTCACTGTTTTTGAATTCATCTGCATCAAGTTTTTCCTGCTGTTGAGAATCATTCTTTAAGCTACCCTTCTTAACTTTGCTTTTTTGTTTAATCACACTTCCTTTCCCCTGTACTACGTCACCAGTTCTTCTCTCCACATTTCTGCACACCTCCTCTGCTCTATCTTTATCTCCATTCTGAGAAATATCCTGCTCTTCCAAGAGCTCATCTTGGTAATTGTCTGTACAATGCTCAGGCAGGTTTTCCTGTACTCCATTCAACAACAGTTCCTCAGTATCTAATACTGGAGATACCTGCTTTGACTGGATGGTTTTATTTTTGGAGGGTTTTGTTGATGATTTACCATGTTTCTGATTGCTTGATCTTGTAGACTTTTCCTGGACATGTGAGTCAGTCCTTTTAGAGCTGACACATGGTGTTTGCTGGCTTCTTGATTTTGCAGTCTTTTTGTTGTTTAATGAAAGTAGTTGAGCTCTGCTCTGGTGGTCGTTTCCTCTGTCCCCATCCACTAGAGACCTTTCGGTTAAAGTATATAAGCATATTAATTTCATGGATTACCATGACATAACTATGGCTTCTAAATATGGTTTATATAAATATGATACAAACTAGGCAGAAAAAGTTGCCAGATATGTACTGATTACAACTGATGTAGCTCTTGGTAAAACAGTCTAAAAGTTCTTTAGTTCAATAACAAGCTTATTTTGTAATCCTTCAATATACAAATTGCCTGCAACACAGACGTTCACTTTCTACATATAAAAAAAGTAAATCTAAAATTGAATAGAACACTGAGGAATTTTAAAATATGCATAAAGATAGTTCTTGGTGAAGAAACGCTTAAACATTTTAGCGTTATTAATGCTATGAGGATGTAACAAAAAGAAATCCCAGTACCTAGAAGAGAGGTCGACCAAGGTGGCATCCAAATCTTCTTCCCCTGCATCCTCTTCTTCTTCTTCTTCTTCTCCCCTATTGTCTTTCTTGTCCCTGAGCTCTTTCTGTTCATTTAACCCCTCTAACTGCTCTCCTGAGTAAGTCAGCCTGAAAGACAAAACCCACTACATGTAAGATGACAGCAATTTTGAAGGTATTCAAACAAGTTGGGTTTTTTTTAGCCACTTTGACTTAATACAAAATATACATCCATAACTGTGTCAAATATTGCTTTAATCTGTGGACATAAAGCAAAAGCAATATCCTATATACTGAGTACTAATACATGGTATTTTAAAATGATTAAAAAAAACATGAAAACTTATGTGATAAATTCTCAGATATTCTTCATTTTTCAATTGCAAAACACTGTTTAGAGACATTATCTGGCAATTAAGGCAAAGGACTTTAAAACATCCCACAATAGAGTTTTAGAGCAATTAGTGTCTAAGAACTAATCTATAGGAAAGAAATGGACATGTGGTTTACTGTGTAGTATCAACTAAAGTCCACAGCAACTTTTCACTTGAACAGTCATCATTTCAGGTCAATACATCCCTAAGCTTACCTTTTTCTTGTCTGAAAACTCTGTAACGGGGAGTTGGGTACAGGTCCTGATGATTTATCTTTAGTAATAGACCCAGACACATCCCCAGCCTGGTCTATACCTGAGGTGGACCTCCCATACCTCTGCTGAGGAGTAATGGCCACTGCCACAGAGGTCCTGCTCTTTGTGAGGGTCCCATGATCACTCGTCTTGTCTCTCCTTTTGCTAGATTCTAATGTTTTTCTTACGTCAGAATTAACGTCCGGTGAAAACGGGGAAATGGACTTTAGAGAGGAATCAATCTGAAACAAGCCAACAGCCATGATCTGTCACAACCTCTATTACAGAAAATTTCTATTCAATTAGCATAGGCTGAGGACATATTAAACAAAGTATTTAAAACACGGTAAATCAAGTGGTGACCACAGCTCTATTATACATATATATTTATTTTACACACAAGTTTACTTTACAAAATACAGGCAAAACAAACATTATAGAGGAAAACATACCTGAAATGCAGGCTTCACAACTTTTGACAAATCTGGATTTTTGGCAAACGCCTTGCCTTTGATTCTTTTTTCATTTTCTTTTTCCTTCAGCCATTTGTCATCAGAATCTAATGTAGATGCATCTGGTGGAAAAATTAACATGATTGAAAGAATATATTCATGGCAAATGCCAGATTGTAATTCTTTATTGGGTCAAAGTATATAATACCAACATTTATGTTTGTTTCATTTTTGAAAAAAAAAAATAATGCCATTCTAAACATGGATTTAGGCAAACGGTTATAACTGATTATCTATCAACCTACCAATCACAAATCCATTTTTTAGGTACAAATAATTAAAGTAAAAATTTAACAAACTTTGAAAAAAAATGGGAAAATTGGTCAGACATGTTTGAATTTAATTAGCTTCAGCAAAATAATATTTTGCACTTTTTGCTTAATAATATGTTGTAGTTATGGATGAATACATTGTGGTATCGATCTTTATTATTATTATTATTATTATTATTATTATTACACCTATTGTTCATGAGACTATAACCTTATATTCGTGTGTGTGAGAGAGAGAGTGTGTGTAAGAGAGAGAGTGTGCAGTGTGCATTTACCATACTTGGGTATATGTACTTTCTTATACTAAAATTTTCCAAAAAAAAAAAAAAAAAATTTAATGTGGTCAGAGCACCAGCTTCAATACTGATATTTGCTGGATATTACACTTAAACCTCTGTTGGTTTTCTTATCTCATTTAATCACATCATCTACTTAATATTCACTGTGGAAACACAGTTACCTGAATCAGACCAGTAGTCATCAAAGTTCTCAATGCCATCGTGGAATATTCTGATATTCTTCCCTGCTCTGACATCTCTCCCTGTTCGCCTTAGTAAGTAAATAAACAGATGATAAAGAAAAACAAATGCATTCTTGCTAAATTAAAAATATTAGATAATTTCCTGAATAATGAAAATTTCATAAATCTTCTAGTGCCATGAAATTATAAATATAAAGTAAAACACTATTAACATGATGATGAGCATCAAAGTAACAAAACAGTATCATCCACATTAAGTATCTTAAAGTGGCTGACCAATACTGCTGTCTCACTATTTAAAGAAGTCCGTAATCCACAAAATGTAACAAAATTTGTGATTGAGCAACTTCAAATGTAGGTCCACCATGGGTCATAGGTTTTAAATAGCACAACAGGATCATATAGAGAATCTAAAATATGGGGGGGTGTCTTTCATTTTCCTCCCCCCCCCCGCCCCCCCATGACCAAATAATATATCTGTTTCATGCCTGCAAACTTCAAAATATCATAAAACGATATAAATGAAATAACCCAATGGTCTAGTCTGTAATTTAGGAATAGCTGATAAAAGTACTTATGTATCATTATTTATCTTACCTTCCAATATTTCTGTTCTCTGGCTTGAATGGGTTCACAAAAACTGCCTGCAGTGGAATAATATACATGTGTACTTGCATCATTAAACACTACAGACTACTCCAAGAGCGCAGACCTCTGCCTAGCAAGAAAATCCAGTCACACAGCCTGATTATTTGCCATGAAAATTTTCTATTTGAAATGATAATTGTTTAATTGGAAGTCGCATATTCAACATAATCATTACTCTCTTGACCTAGTTGCGGTTATTTGCTTACTTGTTTTCCAGGTCCTGGCATATTTCTGTGATACTTCGTAAATTCCACTATGGTAAAAGTGTTAACATAACAAATTTACAAGACTTTAACAAAACTTGATCATCCATATAATTCTTTTAACTCTAATGAGACCAGGTGAAATGACCGTTCCATTTATCCGCCATTTTACGCTGAGCCGCCTGTGAAATAGATGGGGCTTCCCGACCAAGAAATGCTTGATAAATGTGACGGTTGCTTGCTAATTACTTAAACAGAATCATTGGCAAATTTCTTTATAAATACTTTTGATTTTTTCTTCTGAATCGGTCTGTGTAAATAAGATTGCAATACTACCACTAATCAAGGATGAGAATTCATATTGGGGCCTCTTGTAATGTAGCCTCCCCTATCGGGAAATTAATAGATCTGAAACTGGAGGGAGAAACGAATGGCACTGAGCTAATCGTAATTCCTAGTGGAAATTTTTAAGGTTAGGTTAAATCAATAACTTGTAAGACTTTAAGACAACTTAACTTTGAAAAAATATTAATCCAGATTAGTCTTTATAGATGCGGGAAATATAAAACTATTGACAAAATCCACAGCAAGTTCTACCGCCGTCCGAATTCAATATCTCCAGTACTACCACAGTAGCCAACTTCCAAATTTTATTTCATTTTTAAAATGTTGATAAATAGAAATTGCCTATATATTCAAGTAGAGTAGTTGGATTGTACAAAACCTTTTATTAACTGTTGCAATTATTAAATTTATTTTATAAAATTAAATGGCAATGAATTAAAAATTTTAATGGATGTTTGAGTCCTATGTAAAAGTACTTTAAGAGGCCAGAATGAGAAGAGCGGAGTGCTAGCTAGGCCAAGACCTAAATATGGCGGACCTACATGAAAGGAAGACTGCTTAATCTTGTTGTGGTCTATCTGCCTTTCACATGGCTCCCCACGGGTCGTCCCTCTACCAGTTTAATTGAGCCAAGATTTAATTGCTGTGCCCCTGCAGGGACGACACGTGGCGAAGCGTATGAGAGGCGAAGAGACCATTACAGGATTAAGCAGTCTTCCTTTCATGTAGGTCCGCCCTATTTAGGTTGTGGCCTGGCTAGCACTTGGCTCTTCTTATTCTGAATGGCTATAAAGTGACTGCCCATTAAATTTTAAAGGTATTCAGTGCCCATGGTGAATAAGACCTTTTTTCATCGAACTGTGGTTGTGGCTACATGATTGAATTTGTGATCTTTGAACACAGTACTGATTTTGAGAGCTCATCTCTACTGCATGCAAGTGTTACAATGAATCTCTGAAGAGTGATACCATTATACACATTACAGCACAACATAGCGCACAAGAAAAAATGACTCTGAATGCGAATAAACACAAGGAGCAATTATTTGCAAATTGCAAGAAAATAGGGTGATATAAAAGTGAAATGAATCATTAGGTAATTAATATAATATGTTGATCCAACTTGGCAGATCTGGGGCTGTGTTATCGTAAAGGTTGTAAATTACAAATAATGTAACTTGTCACGTCAGTGGGATCGTTTTTGTAAATTGGTATTTTCGAAGGTTTGTAAGTTACAAACTCTTGTAAAAAAGCATGTTAATTTACAACTGCCTCCAAACTGTTGTAACTCGTTACGAAAAGTTGCATTTGGTGAAAACTTGCAGAGAGAGTGTCGTCTGCGGAAATTCTATGCTCATGTTTATTGTTGGATATTTTTGACAGCAAGTTAAAATTACTAAACCATGGATCTTTAATTATCAGCAAGAAAGGTTAGCCTACACTACATAGACATTGCAAATATAATTACTAAATGACATAGTGCATTTAGAAAAAGTGACATCTTGAGAAAAAAATTGTTTGTGAAAGAAGCCTGCTTTATGCAATTCTTGATTTCCTTTCTGTGCTGAATAACATGGTTTAATTCATAGAACAATTATGAATAGATCTAGATCTTTAAATTTGTTAATTTTGTTATAGCAACAGCTAACAGAGACTCTTGTTTCAGGATGCCAGAATAATTTGTGATGAAATGTAAATTGCATATAAGCACATTTAGGTAAACAAGCTGAATGTAATTTAGACTTTAATCCTTTATCCAAGTAATTATATTAGCAATTTCTGTATGGTGCCAGACGGGGGGAATGTGTGTAAAATCATAATTTTTTATTCATAAAATAAAGAAATTGCTCAGTCAAATGATAACAGACAGTGGTCCAGCTGAGTACAGGGATAAAACATATTTGTAAAAAATACACCACAAATCGAAATAAAATGTAGAATTCTGAATGGTACATGAATCACAATTGCACATTGATGGAAATAAAACAACACAGACTAATGGATCTGTGGATAGAGGGTTATGTGCTTCCAACTAGTAATTTTTCATACAATTTGCTATGCTGTATTTAAACTCAGAAAATGATGACGTTTTCCCATCTGCATGTTTTTAGAAAGGTAATATGCAACTTAAAATACAATTTTTCATACATGTGCAAAGTGATTAAGTGCCCAATCTAAGTCAAGCATCTTTAGTTTAAGAGGGCACTGGAAACTATCCTCTTTGCTATCAGTTTTAAGAGATCTTTTAAGAAGTCAGAATTTAACATGTTTTTGCAATATATTTTTTCCTTCCAATAGTTCTAAAACTACAAAGAATACTTGTTTGAGTTTCATTTTCTGTTACAAAGTCCAAATTATTTACATTAAATTACTACACAGTATAAATATTGCTGTGAAATTGTTTTTTGTATTTTCATCTTTGTATACATCCAAGTTCCATCTATAAACATTTTTCATGCTTATATATTTTAGACACCATGAACGGTAACCAGTTTCTGACAACTTTGAAGAAGTTGGGTTATCCACAAGCCAGTAATTTAGATGCCCAAACATTTGATTGGATATTTGAAAATGATGCAGTCTTACCATTTTTAGAATGGTTTTGTGACCATGCCCATGCACTGAATGTTTTACAGGATAGAGAACTAAGAGAGTAAGTGCTTTGGGTACCTTGCATTTGACACATACAGGCAGAACTCATCAAACTTATTATACCTCCTTCTGCCTCTTTGGTTATACCTTGGTTCCACCAGTAAATACTAATTATAAATAATACATGTACATGTATGACAGAGTGGCCCTAACTTTTTCTGTTACTTAATAGTTGAATAATATATGAACTTGTAATGAAATTCTGTTGCACATAAATGTATGTTTCAGATACAGATCTCTAGAGGAATCCACTGGAGTGCTGGAAGGTCCACAGTTACAAGATGCATTGAACAGCATTGAAGGAGCCGAGGATGACATTCCAGTTGCTGAATTGAGGTTAGGTGTTTTCTTGATAAGAAGGTCAAATTTTGAATAGATATTGTTACAATGTGTACATTCTGATCCTCTGCGTCTGACCATGTTGCCACCTGTTTGCCCCTCAAATGATAAATAGTAGTTTTGTTTTACCTGAAATTTACAGGAAGTTTTTAGTTTCCTAAATAATTCAATATAGTTTAGGATTTATAATTTACATAGATAATTTTTACTGAAGCTATCTCATTTTTTAAAAAATTATTTTTATATATACTTGAATAATATTTGTCCCATTTTTTATGATTTAAGTTAATTTCAAGAAATACATTGTTTTCTTAAATAGCTAATTGCTTAGTGTAATTTATCTGTACATTTGTGATGGTATGTTTTCTTTCATAGCTAATTGCTTAGTGTAATTTATTTGTACATTTGTGATGGTATATTATAGAGAGCATGTAAACTCTATGAAGATGGAGCTAGATTTATGGAGGGGAAGAAAGGAAAGTATACTGAGGCAGAGAAACAAGCTAAGGTGAGGGGAAATTTGTCATCAAGGACCATGGGCATGCCATGAATTTAATGCTTGTGTTTAATGTTTTATGAATAAGGAAACATACAAAAAAACTTCATATTTGAAACGGAATAAAGGAATGTACTATCTTACCTTTTAGTTTACATAACACTTCTGTCAACCACAAGCTATCAAAGCTGGGACCCATGGAAACTGTTGCCAATAAAGACTACAAGAGATGCCTTGAACAGAGCCAGGCTGACAATTCAAAGGTACAGCATTGTAATAGTGTACTTTTTATGATTATAGTACTTAACATAAGTGCTCTTAGACAAATATTTGGTCATGTTTCCTAGCTCTTGGGTGAAGATGGCATGATGGCATTGCACAGTTCCTATACAGGCAGTGTTCAGTGGACTTGTGGTGATCATGATAATGCGTGAACCTGTTGTTGGTCTCTTTCCCTTCCACATTTGGTGGTTTTAGGAGGCATAACAATGGTGAGGTGTTTAAAACGCAGGACGTTCAAGATACGTCCTTGTTAAAATTTACTGAAATTAACTTGCATGAATTTGTAGTTGTGTTTTCTCATTCTGCCACCCTGAGCTTCAGAGATAACTTGACACTTATAACCTCTTCACTATAGACTATCTTCATCGTGTCAAGTTACCTCTGACCACATTCGATTGCCCCCGCCGCCTGCCAATCAAATTTAAAGCCCGCACTCAATGACTCATTGAGCGATCTAGCCAATGAACGCGAACGAATCAAAGCGCGCTTTGTTCAAATCCGGACCAATCAAAGATAAGGCTGAATATCAGGGACTTGCCGTAACCTGTGGGCAGCACGCAAAATACACCATCCCTCAGTAGATAATGATGCAGGGCCTCAAACTGCTCTGGTTTCAATTCCGATATACTCATTTCTTGCAAAGAATCAAGAGGTAACTTAACACATTATTTTACATAGTCACTCGTAGGAGACGCCTTGCTTTCTTTGTGTACGGTTATGCACTCGGAACTACTCGGATGTCTCCGCACTCGACAATAACTATGTTGTTAGTATGGAGCTTGCGGAATCAGCCGAGGATTGCTGATTGACGGTCAACCAATCAGCGTTTTCACCAAACTTTAGTGAAACATTTTGAAACATGGATTCGATTGGCTTATATAAACTAGGTCAAACTATTTTCGTCAGAGGTAACTTGACACGATGAAGATAGGCTATAGTGAAGAGGTTAGTGTCAAGTTATCTCTGAAGCTCAGGGTGCATTCTGCTCACATGGGTGCCAAATACTGAGGCTGCATCAACAACGTTTGATCAAGGAAGCAGAACTGAAGGCACATGGCAACTGCACCGAGACTGAAAGAGTTTCATATGATCACTTTTCAACAATCAAAATGATATTTTTCTACCTGACCTCATGGTCACATCCCAGAAATGACACAATGCACCCACACATAATGTTAACGTATTGCCTTAGCCTGTTACCACAGCCCACTCACTGTCCAAAAAGTCATACGGAAAATCGTGTAATATTTCATTGCTCACACCCATGGCAAATATAATCCAGGCTTATATAACTTTACACTTATGTTGGTAGTGTGGAAGTTCCCAGATTACCCCTTTTCTTTTTCTAATTGAATATGTGTAATAGGATTAACTGTTTTACAGCAGCTTATTCTAGGAAGAGAAATATATCGGTATTTGCCTGCTGTTTTAAGGTTAAGACATTTGAGCATTTGATGCTGTGCAAATGACTATAAAAGTAACAGTGTTGGCATTAAGGTTAGTCTAATATGTGAAAAATTAGTCCAGTGTGAATCTTTTTGAATAATAGATCTTATAGTTCTGACACTTGAAACCACTGTACCTACCCCAATCCTGATTTAAATCTTTTGTTTGTAAGAGACTTAAGATATTCAAGATTAAAAAGATTAATTTTTCTGATTTCAGTTTATCTGAAATTATTTCTAATACAGCTCGTCTCATTTCATTTTATTTCATTCAATTATTTTCTTGAATCTGATTTCAGGTTAATGCAGTGTATGAAAACATAACAGAAGCGGTTTCTAAACTCAGCAGTTTCTATGGTGCTGCTGGAGGAGAGGGTAATGAGAGCAGAGATATGCAGCAGGCGGCCACCTTCCTGTCACAGATGTCCCTAGAAGACCATCAGCAGGCTGAGGAGTGCTTTACACAGGAACTGACCACTTTCACCAAAAAGCAGTTCTTTCAAGTAATCCACTTCTCTTATTTTAGATTACCATTCCCTTTGTTTTATTATCAAAAAGTATAAATAGTTTGGTTACTTTATGTTCTTTTTATTGCACCAAATTGTGTAAGCTCAGGGTACATGTATCTTGCTTTTGTCCCTGTATTGATATCATTTAATGCTAGTTGTCGGAAACAAATCATAGATGCCACTTTTCCTCATTAAAAATGGAGATTTGGTCTTCGTTGAAATATGAAGAGAAATCCAAGCCCATTGCTGATGGTTGTGCCCTTTTTTTGTTAATTCAAAAAAGACTAATTGCACAGCATAATGTTTAACTTATCATCTGTAATATTTTTTGACTAACCTAAGATGAAAAAGGAGGGCAGACACTTCTAATTTTCGAAATGATGAATACGGGGTTGCTTTTTTGATAAACTTCAGTTGTCTTTGTTCTGTCAATAGCCTCATTTGCACATGTGTCAAAACATTATACCTCAAAAGTGAAAAATTCTTATAACTCTGTTTTGAAATTCAAAATTTGTGATAAGTATGACAGAGTGGCACCAGCCATGTGGAGATGCTAAGCCTAAAATCAATTTCGTATCTATGTTAACATTAATGACCTCATGAAATTCAGCAAACTGACTTTTACAGAATTTCAAAATCTAACATTAAAAAAAAAACAATGGCTCTAATTGCTAATTATTGAACTTGTTACTCCCTGCCATCACAGAACAACTCCATGATTAACACTGAACTTCCACAAGTACATTTTATTAGTTCTTTAATGAGTATTTTGTGTGTATTACCCAGCTTCTGGTACATACCCAGGAGGCAGTATTGTCTCCCTGATGCGCTAGGATGTGTCACCTTAGTTTGAGGTTGCTTTAAACCAGATCTAACAATGCCCAGTGAAAATTGGTCATCCTGGCAATTAAAAAACATTTACTAAGTCTGATTCCTCATTTATGAACCTGTTACTCCCTAACGGTCACAGATCAACTACATGATTAACACTGAACTTCCACAAGTGCATTTTATTAGTTCATTAACGAGCCATTTGTGTGCTTCACCCAGCTTATGGTACATACCCAAGAGGCAGTATTGTCTCCCTGATATGTGTGCTGATACGTATGTGTCACATTGGCTTGAGGTTGGTTTAAACCAGATCTAACTGCTCAGTGAAAATTGGTCATCCTTGCAATTAACATTGAACTTCCAAAAGGACATATTGTTAATTCATTAACGAGCTTTTCATGTGCCTCATCCAACTTTAGGCACATACACAAGAGACAGTAACACCTCCCTATTGCTCTAAGATGTGTCATGTTAGACCCCATTTCCATAGATTTTAGATTGATCTATCCCTGTGGGGAGTCTCACTAGATTACTGTCAGCTAAGCTGGCTTAAGCGTCTGTCCCGCCTACTGAAAGCTGTAAGGGGGTAATTAACTATGGTGCGCGCTCGGCTGACTGCAATTTAGCCTGAACCCCAAGGGAGTTAGATCGATCTAAATCTTAATCCCTGGATCGATTTAAATCTCTGGGAATACACCCTTAGTTTGAGGTTGGTTTAAACCAGATCTGACTGCCCAGTGAAAATTGGTCATCCTGGTCATTAACATTGAACTTCCACAAGTACATTTTATTAATTCATTAACAAGTCTTTTGTGTGCCTCATCCAGTTTTAGGCACTTACCCAGGAGGCAGTAACACCTCCCTATTGCTCTAGGATGTGTCATGTTAGCTTGAGGTTGGTTTAAACCAGGTCTAACAGCCCAGTGAAAATTGGTCATCCTGGTCATTAACATTGAACTTCCACAAGTACATTTTATTAATTCATTAAGGAGCCTTTTGTGTGCCTTACTTAGCTTTAGTTTGACTACTTAATGTTCCTCTTATTGCACCAGTGTTGTGTAAACTGGAGTTACGTGTATCTTGCTTTTGCCCCTGTATTGATATCATTTAACGCTATTTGTTGAAAACAAATACATTATTAGCCTTTTTCATCTTTTCCGGAAATTGAAATTGCATTGTGGGTAAGGGAGCCCTGCTACGTCGAAACACTTACAGCGGTGCTAAAAACCATGGCTGGGTTTACGTGCTTTTTGTCCCGCTACTACAATAACGGTAAGCGAGATCGACACATGAGGTTTAATAAGTTCCCAACAAACCCGTTAGAATGAAAATATGGTAGAAAGAAAGGAAAATATAGCAGGTTTGGATCAAAAGCAGGGCACCGCGTTTGCGCTGAACATTTCGAAAGCGGGAAGAAAAACTATAATATTAGGAGATCAACGGTGCTTTAATAAAAACAGAAATGCTTAGTTAAACAACGGATATAACGAACTATCGGCAAATAGAACTCGGGGGGTAAAAAATGCGAGAAAAAAAAAACATTATAAAGATTTGAAGAAAAAATTGAAGAATAAGCCGGGGCCTAAAAATTAAGAAAAGACTTCAAGCATGAGATTATGGAAAAAGAAAGTAAAAGCTGTGAAGTTTTACACGGGGATTCTACTTACAAAAAATTCAAGAACTTTCTCGACTTTTTGTGTAACAACAAAGAGAAGGTTTGAAAAGTTTTGTATGTAATATCCTTTTGTGTGTGTTTTATTGATAAGTGATCATTTTAAATGTTGTAGGCCCATCACAGGTTTTAGTCTCTAATGACCCTTAGCAGGTTGGGTCCTATTTTTTTTTAACGTGAGACGTTGATAAAATTTTTATTATTATGTATTCAGTCCCGTATACCTATTACTGATTTGTACAAACGGGGCTCATATTATCAAGATCAACAGAGACATACGAAGAAGAAAGTACATCGGCTCTTGTTGATCGTGTTATCGGCGAAATAAAAAGTTATTTATTTCTGAACTCAATGACAAGAGAATTGGAAAATACAAAATATGCAGAAAAGCCTTTCTGTAAGCTACACGTACATAATACATGACATTGTATGGTAAAGACAAAATGGATAATAAACATAATCCAACAACGTATTTGTAAAGTAATACAAATATGCTTAGTATTTAAGTAGGCCTACGTATATTTAACTGNATTAACATTGAACTTCCACAAGTGCAGTTCATTAATTCATCAACGAGCCATTTGTGTGCTTTACCCAGCTTCTGGTACATACCCAAGAGGCAGTATTGTCTCCTTGATAGTATTCTAGGATATGTCACCTTAGTTTGAGGTTGGTTTAAAGCAGATCTAACAGCCCAGTGAAAATTGGTCATCTTGGCAATATACATTGAACTTCCTCAAGGACATACTATTAATTCAGGAGTCTTTTGTGTGCCTTACCTAGCTGGTGGTACATACACAGAAGGCAGTATCACTTCCCTGTTGCTCTAGTTCCTTTTAAAGGGTGAGTCATATAAGTTTGAGGTTGGTTTAAACCAGATCTAACAATGCCCAGTGTAAAATGGGTAATCCTGGCAGTAATTCCAAGAAATTGGCCTTTCACTTTTTTTTTACTATATGTTTGAGATTTTTCATTATCACTATTCATTAGGGGATTGCAGAAGTTGCAGGTAATGACGAAGAATCCAGGTATGAATTCCTTGACATCAGCAGCCCTGAGAACCTGTTAATAAGGGGAGAGAAAGCAGACGTCAACATGTCAGATTGCAGGGAGCTTGCCAGATTACAGGCTATGTGAGCTATTCTATTCTTTTCCTCAGCTGATGTTTTAATCTACTTAATAAAAATAACTTCTAGGTGTGATAATTTTATTCTCAGAAAAAGAAAGAAGTCAGATCTGTTATGTGCTGTGAGTTGTTAAGACAGCAGGGGTTGCTTCCTGATTTTTCAGTGTTCACATACTCACTGTTAAAGAATATGTGAGGAATATGTGCTATTCACTTTTTTGTGCTTGGAGGTGAAGGGGTTGCGTTATGCACTTAAAAGGGGTCTGTGGGGTCTTCTTTTCTAACAATATTGTTTTTGTCAAAAAGGCATCCTAGCCATTCCTAGTATGTCTACAACAAAATGTAACTTTCACCATGATGACATGTCAAACTGTAATCCTTTCAACCCATCTTTTTCATCATAGATACGCTAAAACAGAATCTCAGTATATTAATGCAGTGGTAGAGGAACAAAGTCTGGGTGCGGCATGCAAGTATGCAGAACAGAAACTGAGTGTGTTGAGAAAGCAAAGATGCACACAAGATGTCAGTCAGCTCAGGTACTGTGTCTTTGTGGTTGTGCACTGAAACATTGTATCTATATCGAGGCTTTCCCCCAGAATGACATCCAGACTCCATTTGGACAGTCAGTTTCCTCAGGAGATGGCTGATATTTTTGATGATGGTCCGATGAATCGAATAAATTTGGAAGAAATGAGGCCTTGATTTGTAAGGAAAGGTAGACATCCCAGAAAATCCCCTCTGGCACCAATCCAACCCAACATTTACCCAACCCAACATAGACAGCCTGTAACTACAGTCTTTGGGAAAGCCTTGATCTGTATATATATATATATATATATATATATATATATATTGAATGGTTTTGATTGATTTTGTGTATCATCTTTATGTTTGGGATAGGAATTTGGTCATCACAGATGAACTTGATTCCAAGGTCCTACTTATCAAAATTGTCAATGCCTTTTTGATCCGTTCCATTTTCATGATGAACACCATACTTAAGATATTTTTAAAGATGTCCGTTAAAAATTTTATTGTATGAAATTAAATTTTTATACATGCATTCAGTATATGCTGTATGCAAATAGAGGGTACAATAAACCCTTATTGTTTTCTTTCATAGCTCCCAACTTCAAGATGCCCAGTCTTCCCTAAGTGGCTTACAGAAAGGACTGGCCAGGTTCACAGAGAGCGAGCTTCCTGTCACCATCAGACACAGTGCATCACTCCAGGAGTCCAGAATTCTGAGAGGAGACTATGATCTGAAGATTGCTAGGCAGAATTATTTTTCAGACAACCAAGACAAGGTAGACATCGCCCCTTGTTACAAAAGATTGCCTTACATTCAAGTAATCACGGGCTGTTAATAGGAGTTAATTTTACAATTAAGGGTCCAGGCACTAATGCCCTTAGTGTACGTAATTATATTGGTTTGTTTTGCACAATTGTGCCTAATGATTTCTGCATAGTTCTGGATATTCGAGCCCCAAATAGAAAAGATCACTATTATTTCTTATGATTTTACCAAACATAGTCATGATTCTGCAAACTCCAAAATATTGCAGTCCTTGAGTTAACTAATCAACTTTACAGATTGAGATAACAGAAAGTCCTTGGAGACAGCTTTCCTGTTTATGTACATAACATAGCATATGGTCTTCTGAGAAGTATGTGTTCACATACAACATTGATCAAATTTTAGTTGATAGCTGAAAGTGTGGTTCTTTTAAACCCCCTCCCCCCCTCAATGACTACAGACCTGAAATTATTTTAATTTCTAGGTTGTGGAGGAGCTGATCAAACAAAGATCAAGAAATGAATTCCTGACGATGGCCTATGAAGCCGAAGAAAGGGGTCACAGAGATACCCATAGACTTCTCACTGCTGTCTCCTTAAAACTAAAAAGAAACCTGAAGGAAGTTCAGAACCGATTGGTAGTGGTGTTTTGAGTTAAAATTTTCTTCATATTGATAAAATGATAGATAACTGGATTAATTTCAGCTATTTGGTGAAAATAGGGGTGCTTTTTTGACAGCATCATACACTGATCTTTTCTAGTAGTGGTGTGTATTACAAGGATTAGTCTGAATAGATGAAAAAAACTAAGAACATATCAAAACTTTAAGGTGACATTCTTAGGCTATTACATACATTCTTTACCTGTTCTCATTTGTCGTATTATTATAGATATAAAATCTTTAATAGGAAATGATGGCAGATCCTGGTTTATCGGGCATGAGGTACAAAAGAAATACAATTGACTCCAGAGACAAATTTCTCAACCGTCTTTATGAAATCACTGGTAAGACAGGCAACAGGTTAACTTAGTAATACATGGAATTGACAAGTCATAGTAAAAGCTAGCTATTTGCTGTTTTATAGGTGTATCAGTTCAAAAGATTATCTCTAATGTGTCAAATTAAATGTTGAATACCTCCAAAAAAGAGGAATGTGAGTCTACAGTTCCAATATATTCTTTTAAGAAGTTCAGATGCATAAAAAATACATAAAAATTGAATTATGGTCATGGTGGTAACCGAAAACCTATTTTCATCTAGGTCAAATTTGGGAGTTGAGGTTTTACACATTAGAATACTAGAAAACTTGCATCTTTTGCTCTATGTCTCTTCTTCTGCTCTGGACTTGTGCAAATGTATTTGCATGTAGTTTTTGTGCATGCTCAACATAGTTAACATGTCCTTCTAACTTTTGCATACAATAACAACACATGAAGTGAGTCCGTCAAAAGCCCATTTGTATGCAGGTTTTTGTTTTTCCCCTACAGCTGGAGAACAGGAAGAAAATGAGAACTTGTTCCAGACATTTGCTGGTCTTGCTGAGGGCACTGGGAGACTCCACCAGAGATTGGTCTCACTCCAGGGTGCTCTGACCTCTGCTAACAGCAGTGAGGACCATATGTTGGCTGTACTGTAAGTTGAAGTCTTTATATTACTCACTAGTGCTAGCAGTACTTAAAATAGGAACAGCACTTAGATAAATTTCACATGTTATGTACACTCAGGCAAAAAGGTTTTTAAGAACATGATTTTACTTAAAAAATTAAGGTAGGGTTTATCTTTGATGTCAGGTTAGAGGTCTTGAAGATTATGTAAAAAAAAATGTGGGTTTTCAGTTACTGAACACATATCATAGGTTAAGCTGTTTTGAAAGTTGATCTCGATTGTGATAAGAAATTCACACCTGCAAGTCTATAAAAAGGTAATGAAATAATAATCTCCATATTAGAATCCAGAGATAAAATGCTACTATTAATATTTTACATCATTTCTTAAAAAACAATTTTGCATGCCTTTTAAAATTGTTTTTGTTTTATGATAATACTTTTAGATAAGACTTAAATTGTCATCTTAGCCTTAGGTGTCAAGAAACAGCATGTCAGAACTATGTTATCATTCTTAATTTCATTATTTTGCTTAAATGTTACTTTGTTTTATTTTTTAGGGAGAAGAATCTTTCATCTTGTGAGGCTCTTGTATACTCCGGATCATCAAGCACAGCTGGTCAGCCTTTGTTAAGTCCACAGAAATTATTGGACAGCATGGCTGCCCTGGATGATATGTTGAAGAAGTTGGAGCATACCATCATGGATGCTATTAAAGACCTTGATGCCAAAAAGAAGGTGAGATGTCGGATAATTTGCCTATGGTAATGGTATTTTCCTCTTCTTGCAGCATTTTAAGTGATAGTTTAAATTATATTTATTACTGTTTATCAGGTCTAAGAGAAACAACATATTGAAGAGAATAACTTTTTATCTAAAGAGGTGCAGGTTCTCGGGTAAAAGGGGACTGAAATAATAAAATGAAATGATAATTGTATGTGTTGGATACATGGCAAATTAACCTCAAATTAATTTTGGTTATCTTGACTTGGGTCTGATAGAACAAAACAATACAATGGATTTGTTGTTATAATGATTATTATTACAAAACACCTTTTAAGATAAATCAATTTTTCCTTTCAGATATTAAAAACTGACCCACTACAGAAAACTGAGAGACAGCTATTTTATTACTTTCACAACAATCCACAAAGACTTGAAGATGCTCTACAAGATGTTTCAGCACGTCTCCAAGCACAGCAGATTTCATAAAGGGCAGCACCTTTTCTTTTTGCAGAGTATGAATTATGTTTTGTATGTACTTGTACTGTAAGGGTGCATGATGCAATTCAAGACTTGTATGTACCCTCTACTGGCTGGCAGATATTATAGGCAATTTTTCAAAAAGCCACCCTGTGACTTTTGGCCAGATTGAAGCAATTAAATCTGCACACACACAGATGGCACTGTACCCGATGTGTAGGGAGCTACTACAGGAGATCCTCAGTTGACTTCAATCTGAACTAACAAGCTATTCCTAAGGGGCTATTTTTATTTGTCACAAAAGAGCAAGTGATTAAAATCAGAGCAATTACCCGTCTTGATTGCTGTTAAGGGTGCTTAGCTTAGGCCTGTTGAGTGGCAGTGCCTGAGCAGTTATCCATACAATGACACGCAAGAAAGTTAATAAAAGCAAAGAATGGTTTGATTTGGTGTACAATCATTAGTCTATAATTTATTTCTGATTCACTTTACAATTTATTTTATATTCACAGCCTTGTTGACATATGGTGCACCTAACTTGTTACACAATCAACAAATATAAATTCATTTGTACACTATCAATAATTGTGTCACTGCAGATTCAAAATTTGTGATAACTATGACAAAGTGGCACCAACCATGTGGAAATACTAAGCCTTAAATCAATTAAAGTATCTATGTTTACTTAACATAAATGACTTCATGAAATTCAGCAAACTGACTTTCACATAATTCACAAATCTGATATTAAAAAAAAAAAAATTACCGAGTCTGACTGCTAATTATTGAACCCATTACTCCCTGCCATTGCAGATCAACTACATGATGAACATTGAACTTCCACAAGTACATATCATTAATTAATTTTTTTGCACTGCATAACTAATTTATAAGTCAACACCAACTTATTCCCCTTATTCAAGATGTATAATTATATATCACATGTATATGTATATATCTAATAATAATACCTGGATTTATATGCAGCATTAAACATTTTTTTCTTTACTTAATTGTACACTCTTTGGGATTTCATCTGGTGACATATTTATCTTAAAAAGTAAAATAATAACAGTGTCCCATAGTTTATGCTGTTATATTTGATAATCAGTAAAATCTGCTGTGACACGGTATGCATTACAGTATTTTTCTCATTTATTTGTTTTTATTGACAGTGCTTTAAAAGTAAAAGAACTATACAGTTTCACTGGTTCCACATTGAAATCTTCCTATGCTTACTGCCTGGCAAGATGGGTTAGTAGAGTGACTGCATTCCTGAATTTTCAAACTCAGTCCATGCATCATTTAACTCCATGAATATCAATTTTGCCAGGTTTTCCTGAGGAGTTCCAGTGAGCTAAAAATATAAAAATAATGACAGATTTGTATTAATAAAATAATTATCATTTCATGTTTTAATACATGAAACAAAATGTATTCAATTCCTCTCCAGATAACAACTGTCATACAGACGGGAAGAGTATTATCAAGTTAATACATTTCACATGGGAAACTTGAACCAAACGGCTATTCTTTGCTGGGTCTATAAATATATAACCTATACTCACTTTATCAGGATGTATAACTAAGACTGCTTTCCTGTATGCTTTCTTCACTTGTTCTGGTGTCACCAAGTCATGCATGCCAACATCTTTCCACCTGTTTTCACCTTCCCAAAGTACAGAGTTCATAGAGCCAAGAAGGGCGCGGATATTGCGTTCTTTACCTTCTACCCACTCCTTGACCTGCAAATGTTAAAACAATACCACTAAGAATCACAAAAAAATTGGGGATGATGCATTCTGGAAATGTCACCATTTTTACCTCAGGAAATTATATATATATAATATAACACACACACACACACACACACACATATATAAATGAAAACACAAACAGATGCAGACGGTTGTCATAAAAGAGACTGTTTACAAGAATAGTACATTCAATTAACAAGTTTGTGAAAATGGTTTATTTGGCAGTATTGTCACTGCTGTCATTATTGTTATCCAGGGTTATCAACACCACACCTGCAAATTTTGTTGAAAAACACCAGACTCTACCTTTAGCATCTCAGGATCCATTATCTGGGCTTGCACATCTTTTCTCATTTCTTTGATCGTCTTAGGCTCATTTTTACTAGAGGATGCTGAAAACCCGTGAGTTCCCAGCAGGTCTTCAAATGTATTTTTGGTCATCTGTGGTTTTTCATAACCTACATTCATGAAAAGAAAATTCCATGTTTTAAATGTAATTCATCTTGAGGTGATTGTTATCAGTATTCCCTACAGCATCCTAAAGAGAATAGAACAAATAAACATGACTAAAAATTGCAAAATACACTGCAAAAGAATCAAAAACGTGTTGGAACTTCACACCTACAGGCCATGACCAACAAAAGATCCAAGGACCATGAAATTTTATTGTTCAGTTGGACCAGGAAGAAATTTTAGGGTCACCTTTGAGAATTTACAGTCAGTCCTGCAAAAGATCCTTTCAGCATTATTTCTCATAGCTGCTGGTCCGAGTGTCTGCAAGCCTACTCACCAAAAGGTTTTCTGGGTCCCCTGTCCTCTCTCCCTCCCACCACACTGGAGAACCCTCCAACATTATAGTTGGGTTTGGCAGCCTGGGGCTTCTTTTGTTGTTGTTGTTGTTGTTGTTGTTGCAGAGGCTGAGACTGTTTTTTTGTTGGGGACTGCCATGATCCTAAAGCAAGTTGGAAAAAATGCAATAACATCTCCTAATTACTCATAATTACTTGATGCTCAAAATAGCCACTATCAGTAAACATTTCCTAGATTGAACCAGACAGGAAGCTCAGAGAGGGTCTAATTAAGTCCACTCAAAATGTCACAATACTGATTCTTTAATAAGAAAGTTAGTAAATCATGCACACTCAAAATAGCAGAATAATATTCCTTGGAATTAGACAGGGAGGTCAGCAAGAGGATGTAATTAAGAAATCTTTGCTAATTTTGCAAAACTATTTTTAGCACTCCTAGATCTAAATTCAAACAGATCCAATGGCCACTTAATTAACAGAGTTAACACACAGGATTGACACTTCAAAAACCTTCCAAAACAAATAAGCCATAAAGAAAGACCTACTTCGAGAAACTCGAATATATTAGAGCATGACAAAATTATAAACAATGGTCATGAACACTCAACATAGGCTCTGTTCTCACAACTTTTAGATCGATCTATCACCGCGGGGAGTCTCACTAGATTACTGTCAGATAATCCCCCTTAAGTGTCCGTCCCCGCCTACTACAAGCTTTAAGGGGTAATTAACTTTCGTGTCCGCCCGGCTGACAGCTATTTAGCGTGAACTCCCAGGGAGTTAGGTCGATCCAATGTAGGTCGATCTAATCTATGAGAATGGGGTGTTAGACTCAAATCCATAACTCAACTACAAACATTTCAAATAGTGTGTGTGTAGTCCAGTGAATACCAATAAGAATCAATCCAAAAGTTCTCATAAATAACCTGATCATGACCAGTTTCAAACTTGACCAGCATTTAAACCTCATCAAATGCTTATAGCAAAATAGATTCAGAAATAAACTTTATGTCCTTTAGTTTATATAATACATAAAGATATACATCTGAAGGTAACAAAACTGCATTTTGATTCATAACAGCAGGGTATACTGCTTGAGAAAACAACTAAGAGGTCACTGTAATGAAAGTCCCCTTACCTCCTGCTCCTTGCATTTTTTGTTGTGACTGTCCAGCAGTTGGCACATTAGGCATTGCACTGAAACTCTGACTGCCCTTCATACCTTGTACACCAAGGCTGCCAAAGTTACCTGGCAAAATAGACACAAAGGTACCAACTTATTAAATAGGAAGGGACACATGTCGTCCCTACAGTAATGAAATCTTGGCTCAATTCAACCGATCGAGATTTGGCGCGTGGGGAGGCGTGTGAGAAGTGGAGAGACTATTACAGGATTAAGCAGTCTTCCTTTCATGTAGGTCTGCCACATTTAGGTCACGGCCTAGCTAGCAGTAGGCTCTTCTCGATCTGAATGGTCCCTAAAATCACCAACTTATTTGACTGTCACTTAAATGATTTTGATAAGTAATACCAACCTAAATTTGCAAAGGGATCAGCTGGTTTGGCATCAACATGTCCTCTGATGTTTTGTGAGCTGCTGTTTCTCTGCATGCCCATCCCTTCAGCAGTTGTGGTGCTGCCACTTGTGGTTTGGAACCCCATTCCAGGGAAGCTGCTATTGCGGTGCATTCCCATCCCAAGGTGCGGCCCAAGGTGTGCCCCAAGGTGGGACCCACTACTCTGGTGGGCAGCAGTGCCATTATTTCCACCACCCATCAAATTGGCACCTGGGTTGGCATTCCAGCCGCCCCCCATTCCCCCCATGTTGGTGGCACTCCCATTCCTGGGCAAAGAGGTGGCAGTTGGATCCCAACTCCCCATCAAATCGGGACCATCTTGTGCTGTACCACTTGCTGTTGTTGTCTTGCCTCCACTGCTTCCCGTGAACCCTATGAAATCATCATTCCCTGACTGAGATCCATGGAAGGGATCAAATGCATCAAAATGATTGGCAAAGTCTGTATCATTCTGTCCTTGTTTTGTGTTTTGAAATGTGTTCTGATTGGAAAATGGTTGTTGAAATGACGAGGCTGAGGAAGATGCTGGGGCAGCATCTTGAAAGGGGTCAAATGTGTCTTGACCACCCAACAAATCTGCTGTAGTGTTGCTTTTCTCACTGCCACCGTATGAAGCTGATCCACTTAGGAGGTCAAAGTTAGAGGCTTCCGTTTCAGTGTGACCAATGTCAAACAAATTTATGTCATTAGAAGTGGTCTGTGCACTTCCCATATTCAGTAGATCCACCTGGGGCTCTGCAGGCTTGTTATCTGCAGTTGTCCGGGTAACATGGGGAGGTGGAGGTCTTGGAGGAGGCACATGACTTACCTCGTCTTCCTCACCGCTCACATCTCCAAGAAGACCTGCTCCCTCCTCTCTCTGCAAGTAGCTCTTGTTCTCCTCTTGCTGACCATGTCTTTCATTGGTAAAATCAGCAAAATCATCACTCACACGCCTGTTTCTCACATTGTCACTGGGAACATCATCCTGCCATTCAATGGTGTCAAAGAAACTGGACTTGCCAACTTTTGTCCCTCCTTGCATGCCCTTTTGGGCATTGGCCTGACTGAAGAAGTCATTTTGGTCTTTAGATGGTGGTGGGGTTGTTACCTCCTCCTCTGAAGTTGTACTCTCAGACCGACTCATGCTTTTCTTCTGCTTAACTCCTGCAATTGAATCAATAAGCCACCATTCTAAGGTGCTAAATAATGTAAACCTTGAAACTATAGAAAAAAATATAGGAGAAATGCTGACTAGCATTAAGACAAAAGAAAAAGTGGATGATATTAAATTGAAATTTGCCATTAACAATTTTTCCTAGGATTTATGTCATTTCAAAAGTCACATTCTTACCAAATTCTGCACACACTCTTTGGAATTCTTCCTTATTTGAAAAGAGGATTCTAGGTTTCATCTCCTTTGTATTGGCTGACTCCCATATGGGTGGTTTCTCTCCAGGTCTCCGCACACGATCTTTTGGGGCCACAGCAAGTGACAGCACCACATTGAACAGCTCTGGGTACTTCTCTGGGTCTTCTGTCTGATCCAAGTCATACCTGAAAGTAATGGCAGATACTAAAAGATGGAACAGTGGAAGAGACTAAAATGCAAAATACACTCAAAGGCTGAACATGTAATATGTATATTGTGGAATGAGGAAATAATGCTTAGAAAACATCAACAGAATAACAGACAATAATAAATATATGAAATTATATAAAGTTTAAATTCTTTGGCTCCTCTTTATGAATCAGAGGTAACTAGAGGATCAGAGAGGCGATACNTTTACCTCGTCTTCCTCACCGCTCACATCTCCAAGAAGACCTGCTCCCTCCTCTCTCTGCAAGTAGCTCTTGTTCTCCTCTTGCTGACCATGTCTTTCATTGGTAAAATCAGCAAAATCATCACTCACACGCCTGTTTCTCACATTGTCACTGGGAACATCATCCTGCCATTCAATGGTGTCAAAGAAACTGGACTTGCCAACTTTTGTCCCTCCTTGCATGCCCTTTTGGGCATTGGCCTGACTGAAGAAGTCATTTTGGTCTTTAGATGGTGGTGGGGTTGTTACCTCCTCCTCTGAAGTTGTACTCTCAGACCGACTCATGCTTTTCTTCTGCTTAACTCCTGCAATTGAATCAATAAGCCACCATTCTAAGGTGCTAAATAATGTAAACCTTGAAACTATAGAAAAAAATATAGGAGAAATGCTGACTAGCGTTAAGACAAAAGAAAAAGTGGATGATATTAAATTGAAATTTGCCATTAACAATTTTTCCTAGGATTTATGTCATTTCAAAAGTCACATTCTTACCAAATTCTGCACACACTCTTTGGAATTCTTCCTTATTTGAAAAGAGGATTCTAGGTTTCATCTCCTTTGTATTGGCTGACTCCCATATGGGTGGTTTCTCTCCAGGTCTCCGCACACGATCTTTTGGGGCCACAGCGAGTGACAGCACCACATTGAACAGCTCTGGGTACTTCTCTGGGTCTTCTGTCTGATCCAAGTCATACCTGAAAGTAATGGCAGATACTAAAAGACGGAACAGTGGAAGAGACTAAAATGCAAAATACACTCAAAGGCTGAACATGTAATATGTATATTGTGGAATGAGGAAATAATGCTTAGAAAACATCAACAGAATAACAGACAATAATAAATATATGAAATTATATAAAGTTTAAATTCTTTGGCTCCTCTTTATGAATCAGAGGTAATTAAGTATGGCCTTTATCTGAAAATTAACCTAATTAGACTTCACCTAGTTATTCATAGATCTACTTGGATGGATAAAATCTTTCAAGTCTATCAAATGATGTGTTAACCATTTCAGTTTATATATGTATATAAATATAAAGTTTGAAACCAAATTGGAATGAAAAACCAAAATTATGTTAATCTTTAAAATCATAATGAGAAAAATCTGAGAAGGTTCATATGTCCTTTTTGTAACCAAAATTATTCTAAAAAACATTTTTAAACTCTTTAAAATATACATTCAATTTTACACTTACTTGGAAAACTTGATGTCTTTTTGATCTGACTTCAGATATCCCGTATGGAATTGAACTTGAAACATCTTGAAAGATGTTATCTGGAAATATATATTCAGTGTTCTGCCACTAAATACAGTGTAAAGCAAACTGCAAATACTGATTAAATTCAGATAAAATGAAATAAACATAATCATCTCCAAAACAATGTAGTACAAGTAATATATAAGACACTGATTTAAGATTTCTAAAAAGAAATAAGTAGATTTTTAGTATACTTTTGTAAATATCAAAAATGTAGTAAAATTAAGGAATGAGCATATCAACTGAAAACTCTAAGTAATCGCCATACCTTTCCTTGCACTTTCCCCCCAAAGGTAGACCTGGCATGGTAGGCCACAATGGTTACATCTCCACATACTGACACATTCAGTGGAATAACAACCTTACTGTCAGAGACATCATACCCCCTAAAAAGAAAAGAGCAGGTAACCATCAAACTAATCACAATAAATAAATAAAATAAATTAATTAATTAAATAAAATAAAACAAAAATCAATACATCATATTTTGTTCACAGCATGAATGCACAGATGCAAAAGCTTAACAAAATTTGCCATCTGGAATAAATGAGAGTGAGGTGATTTCTCCAGACAATGCTGACATTTTACACCACTTCTCAATAAAACATACCCTGTTTTCTTTTAATAACTGATATTTTTTTGCTTTTTTTACTCATTATCAGCTTTATTAAACAAATAATTTTTCAACTACAATCTGGTGTGTGAAAAACTTTTAATAATATGAAATGTCCTTCAACCTATTCTGACAGCTGGTTTGCTATAGTATACCTCATTCTATCATATTCCTGTGATGTGGATAAAACTCTTTCTTCACCAACATAGACCTCCACAAAAGGTCTACAACCAGACCTGTAAAAAAAAGTGAACGTGAACAATAACTACACACATTTTAAAAAAGACATACCAATGAAGTTAAAACCATCAAAGGCAGTGCATTTATTTAAAATTCTTTACATATTTTTAATACAACCCATATCCTGAAAAAGGGAATGAAAAGAGAATTCCACTAAGGGCTCAGAGAGGCAATGGCTGCATTAAGAGATTGTACCACCAGCCTAAAAAGTGGTAAATGGGACATTCCACAAAAAAGTAAGCTTTGAGTCAGCAATGCCTACATGTGGTGAAAAATCTGCATACCTGCTGAATATCATTATTGGTTACTGTTGGTTTCCATCCATACCGGAGAATATCATTGTATAAAATGGCAAAAATAAGTCCAAATTATGCAGATAATACACCAAATGTGTGCAGACCACTGTAGTAACTCAATTTTTTTTCTTTCTTTTTAGGAATGACCCAAATAACATAATTTGATTGACACAACTTCTCAGTTGACACACAAATTGGTATGAACTTCAGGACACAGGATTCTCTATCAAATTTACCAAGTAAAAGAATCATGTAAATATATTGCGGCCCAGATGTTTGGTGTTGGATGCAAACATACACATTTTTTTTGCAAATACAATACGTTCAACCTAATGGTAAAATTGCATAAAAGAGATCGCAGTACAATAATGACATACTATAATGGAATGGAAATGTATTTATAAGATGAACAGAAATTAATAATAATTATAATAATAATAATTTATAAAGATTGCAACCTAGTGTGTTGAAATTGTACCTAAAATGATAACATTGCAATTAAATAAAATGCTACATGTTTGAATGAAACTAAGTTAAACGAATTCTGCACAAAAAGGGATTTACAGGCAGTATATATACAAGGTATAGATATTGCTATTAACTGTTATCTTGGCTTAACGATCTCCTGTTGACAATTTCTGCTATCAAAGTGCGTTGAACTGCGTAATATGAAAACTGCTTTTTCTTCTTGCTCAGATCACTAACCATTTCCCGCTGAAGATACAAATAATAATATTCTTAGTTTTTCTAAATATTAGGTTGTGTATTTTCAAAAAATTTGTCAGTTGTCCACCCCTCTTTGAAAATAAAGGTCATCCAGTGATGCCTGGGCCCATTCAAATGACGACTGGACAGTGTGCTGGGAAAAGCCTTGACGCCCTGCCTAAAGAGCAATCATGGCTTTGCTGGCATCAGCCAAAGAAACTTGTACTGATCTATTCTTACCATTTGACGCAATGAGTGGCCAATTTAAATTAAACCCATTACTGTATACATACACTGTCAAAGGAACCCGCAAATTTCACATGAGAATTTCTGAAACTGCCATTTCAGACTTGAGATGGACATTGCAAAAAGAAAGAATATGACATTTTATAAAAAAAAAAAGTATTCTCACCAGGGATAATTATGAAATTCCATGGGTTTTCCAGTGAAATTCTCAAAAATCAAAATTCCAGGTTTTTCCAGGAACTTCAGGGGATGTGTACCCTGAGTGTCAGAGCAACGTAAAAGCTAGCTTGCTAAATATACCTTGTGGTGGAGTCACTTTTACTAACTCTGAAGACCAGCGGCCATGAAAGTTTTCCATCAATCAAATAGAACTGCTCCGCAGTGAAAATGCAGTTGAATGTCATCAGACCAAAATAAAACGTAAAACAAATTTAATTCTGCTTTATTTAATTTTATTTGCTGTATTTAAGATGTAAAGTGAAAAAATAAATAATATTCTTCGGAAAAAAAAGATATATCCAATGTTTTTGTATTTTTTTGCTTATCAAAGAACATTTAGTCCTGAGATATACACGTGCACAATACATGTGCTTGCCGTGTGCCAAATTTGACAGCTACACTGTATGCCCGATACCACTATAAGGGCTGCGCAATGGCTACACGAAAATAAGTTTTTACAGCAGAATGTTGCTTGTATTGTGGCACTGACCTTCGACTGCAAGATATTTTCATTTCAAACTTCTAACTCCGCGTCAGACATTTTAATTGCTTCTTGTCTCGCCTGCACGAGACTTCAGCGCAAGGCGGGAAAGGCAGCTATAGGCGGCCAAACCTGTGACGTACGAGAGTTATGACTTCCAAATATGGATCCAGGCGGACACAGCTGTGACGTGTGACTTCCAAATATGGAAGCGCCCCAGGCAGAATTTTGAAGAAGAACGCCCCCGAGTTGCCACTGTTCACTAGAGCCTGGTATTGCTACTATGGGTTATATATGAAATCAAGATCGAGCTGGCAATACCGGAATCTAGAACCTTGGGTAAGGATGTGCCAACCCTGTCATAAGTTCCTTTACAGGCAATTTTCCTATTAATCATCAAAACATGTTATGTTCAAAATATTTTTATAATATCTTATTAGTCCCTTCAGGGGAATCACAAAATTCCACAAGGGAAATTCTCCAAAATAAAAATTCCAGGTTTTTTCAGGAATTTCAGGGACTGTGCAATTCCTGTTATAAGCTAATTTATTAACAATTTTTCCATATAAATCAGCAAAACATGTTATGTGCAAAATATTTTTACAATATCTTATTATTTGCTTAAAAGGCCAGTGCACAGCATAACAAGTATGTCCTTATGGATTCTCAGACATCAGGATATACATCATAGACATCAGGATATACATCTCAGACATCAGGAGGTACAATGTAGACATCAGGTATATTTCTAAGACACCAGGATATACTTCTTAGACATCAGGATATACTTCTCATGCATCAGCTTATACTTCTTTGATACTATGTGCCAGCAAGACCTGATAATTAATATCTCCTGTACCTGCATTAACATTTAATTCATAACAGCTCACTTCACTGTAAAAGCAGGAAAATCTTGTATAACTGAAGAAAACATTCCGTCACAGTAAAAAGCATGCTCTTTGGCTTGATGTAAAACTGAAGAAAACATTCTGCCACAGTAAAAAGCACGCTCTTGCTCTTTGGCTTGAAGCTAAATTGCTAGTATAATGGAACTGCTATGCTTTTGTCTTCTTAATTCTATTTTCCTTATCTTGCCTTTTGAAATCTACACCTTATATTTTTCTTTCTGTGAAGCCCTTGGCAATAACTTATATAAAGGTTTGGACTGCAAAATCAGCATAATTGAAGAAATTAAACAATCGTTAAAAAACAACACATAGAATAAAAGTCAACTGAAGTTGATTTTGTATATACTTGCATATACAATAAAACTGTACTGAGGCCAACTTATTAAGATCCCAAGAAAACAGAAATGTTTCCAAGATGACTTAACTTCAAGGCAAATAAATTCCAAAAAGGAATCAAGAAAAATTATATAAAATTTCCCTATATGGTCTTAATGAAGAAAGTTGCATGTTTGCAAATGGCTATGGGCATGACATACACAGGTGATGACTTATTGTTCAGATACTTAATATGTAGAACAATACACACATACCAAACTGAATAAAAGTGAAGGCTATCATAAGCTATAGAAAAACATCTTGCATAACAATGAAAGTATTCTTAAAATTCAACCTAACAACTGAGTAACAATAACAAAAACAGAGGCTTAGTAATACTTTTCCAAAAACACAATTTTCTTGAGAAACTTAGCACATGTATATACACACACTACATTAATTCCAAAAAATCATCCAATCAAGCTACATGTAATTTTCCTACTTGAGATGCATTTTAGTCATAAAAATCATTCTTGTAAGTTAGAAATGATATGTAACACTGTTTTCCTTTAATAATGGTGGCAGGCTTTTGTTAATTCTTATGCAATATTACAGAGTGTAAAACAGCATTGACCACACCATTTTTTAAAATTATTTACTTTAAATACCAACGGCATTCAGAAAATGTAACTAACAAAGGGCCTCAGGCCCACAGGATTTAAAAGTCAGACAAAATGCCAAAATGAAAAATTCACAAAAAACTGCATAACTTCAAAAAAATAATCAAATAAAACTGTAATTTGAGCTTGACCTGTATTTTAGTGCCATAAATTACTCCAGTAAATATGAGGATATTATCTCACTTTTTTCCATAAATTGCCTTAAAGGTGAAAAGTGCACAGCAATAATGATGACTCAGATGACAACAAATGCAGGTGACGGCAGTGGACTGCTGTTTTAAAAAAAATACAAATTGACATACTTTCACTTATTTCATCAAAAAAAGCAAAATCTGCTGTAAAATAAGAAAAGCATCACTTACTTTGTCTTATTAAATAATGGAATAGGGACCATGGTCAAACTAGACAACATCAGTGGTTTGCTATGGGGCATGACAGGCTCTTCATTCATCATGTGACACATATAATCAATATACCTAAAAGAATAATACACCCATGTGTTAGTTTTTACATTTTTACCACGCTCGGCTGTCACCTTGATTGGATAGTAAACGATTGTCGTAAAATCGCTAAATGATATTAAAATCGGGTGCATAAACTAGAAAACCACCTAGGACAACCTAAGACTGCCACATTAATCCAATACANTCGAAAATCGCTAAGTTTGCTCATTAGCAAGGTAGTTCAGTAGTTAGTTCTTCTAACTAACTACTGCTTTGTGAAACCGGCCCCTGCTATGCTTTTGTCTTCTTAATTCTTTTTTCCTTATCTTGCCTTTTGAAATCTACACCTTATATTTTTCTTTCTGTGAAGCCCTTGGCAATAACTTATATAAAGGTTTGGACTGCAAAATCAGCATAATTGAAGAAATTAAACAATCGTTAAAAAACAACACATAGAATAAAAGTCAACTGAAGTTGATTTTGTATATACTTGCATATACAATAAAACTGAACTGAGGCCAACTTATTAAGATCCCAAGAAAACAGAAATGTTTCCAAGATGACTTAACTTCAAGGCAAATAAATTCCAAAAAGGAATCAAGAAAAATTATATAAAATTTCCCTATATGGTCTTAATGAAGAAAGTTGCATGTTTGCAAATGGCTATGGGCATGACATACACAGGTGATGACTTATTGTTCAGATACTTAATATGTAGAACAATACACACATACCAAACTGAATAAAAGTGAAGGCTATCATAAGCTAAAGAAAAACATCTTGCATAACAATGAAAGTATTCTTAAAATTCAACCTAACAACTGAGTAACAATAACAAAAACAGAGGCTTAGTAATACTTTTCCAAAAACACAATTTTCTTGAGAAACTAAGCACATGTATATACACACACTACATTAATTCCAAAAAATCATCCAATCAAGCTACATGTACTTTTCCTACTTAAGATGCATTTTAGTCATAAAAATCATTCTTGTAAGTTAGAAATGATATGTAACACTGTTTTCCTTTAATAATGGTGGCAGGCTTTTGTTAATTCTTATGCAATATTACAGAGTGTAAAACAGCATTGACCACACCATTTTTTAAAATTATTTACTTTAAATACCAACGGCATTAAGAAAATGTAACTAACAAAGGGCCTCAGGCCCACAGGATTTAAAAGTCAGACAAAATGCCAAAATGAAAAATTCACAAAAAACTGCATAACTTCAAAAAAATAATCAAATAAAACTGTTATTTGAGCTTGACCTGTATTTTAGTGCCATAAATTACTCCAGTACATTTGAGGATATTATCTCACTTTTTTCCATAAATTGCCTTAAAGGTGAAAAGTGCACAGCAATAATGATGACTCAGATGACAACAAATGTAGGTGACGGCAGTGGACTGCTGTTTAAAAAAAAATACAGATTGACATACTTTCACTTATTTCATCAAAAAAAGCAAAATCTGCTGTAAAATAAGAAAAGCATCACTTACTTTGTCTTATTAAATAATGGAATAGGGACCATGGTCAAACTAGACAACATCAGTGGTTTGCTATGGGGCATGACAGGCTCTTCATTCATCATGTGACACATATAATCAATATACCTAAAAGAATAATACACCCATGTGTTAGTTTTTACATTTTTACAAAGACAAATTTAGTTCAACTGCGATGAGGGAACTTAATTTTTTCATATAAAAGTGATCTAAGTATACTGTTAAGTTGATTTCCTCAAAATCTCAAAATTTTCTGTTTTCAAATGCAGTACCAGTCTTAACTCTCTAAAATCCTGAGCAAAAAAGTGCTTTCAAAACACCAAAGAGCAACTCTTACAGCATTGCCAAAACACAACAAAGCCTCACAAAAAATATGTATCCTTTTCTCTAATTAAAAAATTCAAAGACATAAGAGTACCTCTTCTGAGAGGGCTGCATTGCCGGGGCACATCTTCTTACTGTGAACAAGTGGATAGTGGAGGCAACATTGTCAAACAGTCTACAGAACACAAGGAAAGCCCCTATGACTGTAGCAGAATTAGCTTTGCCATCCTAAAAAAAAGACCAGGTAAAACAAGTCATAAAGTGACCAGAATAAAGGAGCACTAATAAGGTAAAGATAGACATAAAATGGGGATCCAAATGAGTCAATTCACCTCTAACCATGTATTGACTATTTAACACTTTAATTTTACATACTTTGCAAGCTGCTGCAGAAAAAATTTAAAAAGACAGTAACGGTGAATCTAAATACTGACTGAATTTATGACAATTTTAAGTCAACAACGATCGAAATCAGATATACTTGAATAAGTACCCATGAAAACTAGCTTAATTTAGAAAACTGACTAGCAGCTTCAGAAATACAGTAACATGATTGCATACAACATAAACGGATATGTTCCCTTTTCAAAAAAAAAGTTAGCACATTTTGCCATCCAGTTCCTTGAAAGTGATCCCTAGATATCTAAATATCTTACCGTGCAGTGGACCACACACACATTCTTTGGATTCTGACGCAACCAAAGGTGCATGTTCTTACAGATGGCAAATAACGCTTGCAATGATGGTGCTTTTTTAGCTGGCCAACCACATTCAGAGACCTTAAATTAAAATTAATTTGTTGCTAACAATTATAAGCTGGAATCAACCACACAGGCTTGTTCACAAAACACTGCATTAAAATGGGTATGTATTTATGTATCCTTCCCAGGGAGACAAGAACGTCACTCACCCCCCAGTGTGTATCTTAATCAGCCATCCATTATATATTCATTAGTTATATTCATGTACAACGTCAACCCAATGGTTTGCAATTTTCTAATGAACTTACTAGTATTATTATTATTATTATTATTGATATTATTTAGTAGATTTCCAGTTTAAATGAAAGGGAGCAAATGACAGAGATACCCACAGTGCATTTACATCATCATCTCAAAATCCACTCCGCTTAGAAACACATGATATCAAGTACACCCAATGAAGCATGGTTCACTTACTCTGTTTTGAAATTTCACTGATTTGTAACTTCTTTGAGACAAATTGTACACTGCATAAGAATCAGGATGCCTGTCTTCAAGGTAATTCCTGACATCATCGATGTGATTTTTGATAGCAGACTCTACCCCTTCTGCTGGATAGGACATGACTGAACCAAAGAAGAAAGGTCAATGTATAAAATACAGCATATGTATACATGTATGGTCTTGAATTTCAGGTCTTTTTGGGACAACTATATTCAGTTTCCTTGATTAGGTTCTTAATGAGTATTTTGGCAATATGCACAGAGCATGGTAACTTACCTATCAACCGCGATGTAATGTAAGCTATATCTAGGTCCCCTTTGTTCATAGTGCTGAAAACAAATATCCCATCATTAAAAAAAATCAAAGATACTCCTCAGGGTGTACCTGAAACTATGATTTAAATATAATGCAAATAACACAAATATTCAATTAAAGGTACATTTGAACTGGATGGAGTGTGGATTCACAGAAATGCATATAAAGCACCTCTACTAGTTTCTTATACAACTCATAAAATCGACATGCTTTCCCATGTTTTCCCCCGACATTTTAGAATGAAATTTCAACATTTGGGGCTTTTATTTGAGGGGTTATATCAATTTAATGGTCTGAATCAAGAAAGACAAGTAGCTTTAGGGGATGTTTAGACATAAAATAACTTTTATTGTGAACAGTGACCTGAATACTTACGCTTGAACAGTCTCCATAACTTTAGAGGAGGCATCTTTGATATTTTTCATCAGGCTTCCAGCGCCTCCTTTAAGTGAGCTAATAAGGTTGCTGGTGGAGGACTGCCCCCCCTGGGGATAGGGCTGATACTGCTGGGGTGGGGGCCTCCTCTCTGGTGTGCCTGGGGCACTAGCTGTAACAAAGCATGAGGCCCAGGTCAGTAAACGTAGGCTTAGGTCCTTTCCCATCAAGCAGCCAGTATATTCAAATCATTCAGACTGTATTAGCTCACTTTGAGTGATTGGCAATTTAATAGATTGCTATTACATAAGGGAGTTGCCCAAATAGATCCTTCAAACTCACAATGGCCAATTAATTCATTATATGCAGTTTAACACCCCACCTTCAATAATTATCCTTCACTTTACTATCATTATTGTATCTTGTATTACTTTATTCTCTCCAGGGCGACTCCTGATTTCGCCACACAGAATAATTACTGAACATAGCAAATAATCTTTAATCTACAATTTCTATTTCCCTCATTTTCACAATGTGTGCAATCTATAAATAAATTAAACTAAAAGAAGGAAATGAAGTTGTGGAGTACTTGCGAAAGGAAGTATACGTAACCTCCTGTGCTTCATTCACAGAATACCTTTACTTGACTGTTTCTTCCATTTTTAACTGCTGACTTTATCAAATCCCAAAAGGAACCTTACATCAGTTTTATTAAACAGGATCCAATTGGGAAATTCTGTTACACTGACACCTGGATAAACTACCTCTGTTCTGTGGAATTCCAAAATTCAAGGGAACCTTGAGGTCAACCCCTCTGGCAACAGCTATCTCCTGCAGCCTTTCTATCACCTCTCCAACAGCTGGCCTCTCCCTGGGATCTATCTTAAGCATGGAGCCTGAAAGCATAGAGAGGCAAAATGAATAACCCTCAGCATATTCTTTCATTTAATTTTATTGAGACAGCAAAAAAATTGTTAGTCTTGGGGGGGGGTAGCAAATTTAGTATATTGACTAAATTGATCACATACTGTTAAAAAATAGAAATACAGACCCCTTACAAGGAAAATAACATCAAAACATCATACATTTTTTTGCAATAGTAAAAATACTAGACGATGATAACTAATCATGGGGTGCCAAGTGATAATTACTATACTGATTATGCACTAAAAATAAAACAAGAAAAAATATACTACAATAAACAAAGTACCCCATAGACAGCTAAAATGTATTCAAAGCAATACCACACAGGTGGCTGTGAATTAACAACTTTTTAAAGAATAAAACAAGGGAAAGGCTGAGGGAAAACAAAACAAATAATTTCTTTCAAAAAAGGAAAATTATGCAACCAATATCAACTTATTTGACTTAAACATGCATTCAGCGTTATAAGCCAGTGGCTATAAAAATAAATCTTGCAAATAAAATACTGTTATACAAAGGGATAACAACTATTCAGGAGATTTATGTTTCACAATAAAAACATTGTAAACAACTCATGGAAATAAAATTAATGCCATTTAACCAACACAACAGCAGATATAACAATTATTCTTGCCATCTGACCATGTGGGCCTTTACTGATGGCTATATCTCAGGAATAATCTCTTAAGAAATTATTACAAACAAATTTTTAAAAAAGGACTAACTTTGAATGCCTGAATGGATTCAATAACCATTGGTAACTATGGTTAAATCATCGTTTACCCAAGGAAAATCCATTTTTTTGACCAAAAAGAACAGTTGTTATCCTTTAAACAAAAACTGATAAATGATCCCACAAACACCCAAACCTAACAGAGAATTTTTTTCTTTTATTCAAGGATATAATGGACACCAAATTTGTGAAAAGGCACCAACTCATGTCAGAGTTTGCCCCAGACTTCAAAATATATAAGTGTATAATATCCTATGTTTGCACAAATTTTTACATCACAATGTACAACATATAATATACATTTACTTACGTATAAGACCATGGAATACTTTGTACTTTGAGTCTGTGGCTGGAATGTTATATTTTCCATTGATTATCCTTAGCTTGGCAGAATCCTCAAAGGGATGTTCCCGGAAGCACAACATAAACAACACGCAGCCCAGTGCCTAGAAATCCAAGGGACACTGTTGTAAGACATCTAGGGCATACCATACAAGCTATTTAAATGGGAGGGGAGGTCATATTCTGAACAAGTGCACCTTGATATCCCTCACTTGTCCAACCCTGAGAAATGGCATTTAAAATAAACCTTTTTTTTATTCAGACTGGACCTTTTGAACACCAATTTACCCCCCTCCCCTCCAGAACAACCCCTGTCTACTGGCCAGCCATATAGATTCCACTGTGATAACCATAAATGGAACTTATATTCAAACAAAACTTTTTAATGCAATGCTAGAGGTTTAAAGAGGTGTGGGCCACCCCTAAGGTACAAACCACCAGCCAGAGAGTTCATTCAGTTTACAAGTTTTTTTTGTGTGTGAGTGTGTGTGAGTGTGTGTGTGTGTATGTGTGTGTTTTTCTCTTTCTACTTTAATTAAATATGAGTTTTTTTCTTACTTCAACCTCGAAAATATGTGAAAACCTATAATCTAGATTTTGTGAACATTTATTTGCATTGCTCTTTACTGGACTTCAAAACTTTTGGTCAACCTCGTATTGTTTTGGAGATATTCAGTACTTTCATTTTACATTGTACAATTATACATTTCGACAAGTCAATGTGTTAATTTTAGTTTGCATATGTGCATTTGAGAAGCTAAGCTTTCAGCTGTCACCGACAGCGTCTGGGTAAAATCAAGTAAAGTCAAGTGTTAATGGACTAAGTTGTTAAGACAGCTGGCACTTCAAAATGCAGCTATCATTAAAATATCTGGACTTTTCAGGGACGGAATGTTCTATTTGTACTAGTAGACAATTATTCCACAGTAATATGCTTGTTGTGAAGGAGACAAATGTCCTTTCTTATCCCAACCAACAGCAACAGTAACTGCAGTTTTTGGTAAATCCACAGCACCATTTACTTTTTGCTAGAAACACAGTTTTAAAAATATAGCTTCTGACTTTCTCACTATTATTAACATTTAAGTACAGCGATGCATTCTTTACCAATTCTGTGTTTACATAAAAATTATTCTTAAAAAAGGAAAATAAGTCCCACCTTCTCTCTAGATAGGACTAACTTACAGGTAACAAATTAGGGGAAGGGGGTGTAAGGAAACTGAGGGTCCACGTAACAAAAACTCCACCCTCCACTTATAATTATAATCGTTAAGGTTAGCCTGACGTAAGTGGTTCAAAATCTAGGGCGAGGCTTACCTGTACAAATTAAAGGGAAATGGACTCTTTATTATGGGGGACTCTCTGTCACATGAGAGGGGGACCTTAACTCACAGCTCCATATCAACCTTACCCATATATCGGCCTTCTCTGTTATTGGGAAGTTCTGATAGAGATCAAGCATTTCTGGTGTGCGATACATAGGAGTTGTATGCTTCGCAATCTGAAAAGCGCATGACATCAGCAGTCAGGATTGCAATGAACCACTTTTAGCTACTAGTATGAAGACAGTAATTGCTTATTACGGGTATAAAATGGTTAATATTTTCAGTAGTGTTCAAAATGTTGATTCAAAAGTTTTAAAATGTTAGCATTACTTGAGCAGTTCAGTGCGTAACTTTTAAGATGATAAATATTGAAAAAGAAAACTAGAAGAAGTGAGATATTTCAAAGTAATCAGCACACTTTTAAGGGACCCATTATCAACTTTGGCAGCAAATACAGGTGAATATTGACTGTACACATCTCCTTCTTTAATAAATAACATTTCATTTATGTCATATTTCTCTAATCTCAACAATATTTGTAAAGATTTTATTACCTCATCCTCTACTAAGCTTCTTTTAATTGCTGTCCAAGAATGGTCTGGGTAATGCATCTTTGTAGTAGCACTTCCAAAATCACACAGTTTAATGGATCCCTTAGAACTAAGCAATAGATTCTCCACCTGAAAATAGTTACATTATCATTACCTGGGGTAGCGCTAGCAATTTTTTTTGTTTAGCCAAATCACCTTTTTTTTGTCAATTTGTTATCCAAATGGTTTTAATTTGACTAAAATGAGTCAAATCAAGCACTTTTTGTTTAGCCAAGTTAAGCCATTTTTAGCATTTGGCTAAATTGGTGAGTGTTAGCACTACCCCAGATTACATTATTTGAACACAGTCACCTAAATTCATAAACACATAATCTGATTGTTTGTAAAAGCAGAGATAAGGACCAATAAAACCGTTTGAAAATTTCCCAGTAATATTTTCTATGTCGCAATGCTAAATTACTGTTCAGTCATTTAAAGGTAAATCAATAAATTAAAATGGAATAAAATATTAAATCCAAGTGGAGGAATGGATCAAGCAATGTTTCATGAAAAGGTTTATTTCATAATTGCTCCCCCCCTCCCCCCCC